TCTCTCTTAACTGACCCACATTTATTTCTGGCGCCGTGGAATCCCTCTCTCCGAGACGAACATCTTCCGTCTCACCACTCAGAGGCGTTTCAGCGATCACCGTGACGGTGTCATCAAATTGAACGGACTTCTTTCTCTTTTCTGTTGAACTGGTGGCGTCTAGAATTATTGGCTCCAACTCCACTTGATCTTCACTACTCACAAATGCCTCAGGATCGACCTTGTATGATTTAGTCACAATGAACTCTAAATTCGAAGATGTTCCCTCTCTTTTCTCCTCATTGTTCACATCGTCGAGCACTTTCGCAGATTCCGACTTCACATCATCAACAACACTGCTCTCAATATTCCCATTGGTGAGTTTTGCAGGAATTTCAGGCACTTCAAACAAAACTGCCGGAGCTGTTTCTGCTAATTCAGCAATTACATCCTCCACTTCTTCATTCTCACCAAATGGAATTCTCGCTTTGATTATTTCCGCAGCATTTTGCTCAATGAGTGCAATGATATCTGCATCATAAATGGGCGTCTCCTCTTGCGTCACTCTTATTTCCACTGGCTCATCAATATGCTCCTCAATCACTGACTTCTTCCCATCCTTTATGACAATATTGCGAATCACATTCACCTTATTCACCACAATTGTCCTCTCGACATTCTCCTCAGGGCTCTGTATTATTATGTACTTCCACAGTGGCTTGCCCGACCCACTTTCGACAATTTCCGTATGATATTCTGGCGCATCTTCAGTCACTTCCACTTCCTCAGGCACTTCAATCACCTCCTCAGTCACATGCTCCTTCCCATCGATTATTGTCACACTTCTCAACACCTTCGTCACATGTCGAACCACTTTTCGCGTCGTTTGTCTCACAACAGTTTGAATGATGGACGCATCTTCGCTGTCTTGAATCTCTGGGAAGGCTTTTGAGTACTCTCCAAGGTGATCTTTGTGCACGAGAGTCACAGCATCATTCCTGAACACGGGAATTTCATTGCCAGTCAAGTCATACTCAATTGGCTCCTCCTCAACCTCTTCAGTCACTTGTTCCTGTCCATCCACAAATTTCACTGATTTTTTCACGTGTTTTGTCTTGGCGAAAACTTTCCTATTGTCCAAATCCACAATTGATTGAGTCACTTTTATCTCCTCAGACGATAAAGTGGAAAATTCTTCAGTTTCCTCACCCTCGGGAATAGAATCCAATTGATCACCATCCCATCTATCCAAAGAAATGTCCTGAATTTGATCCAAAGCAGAATCTTGTTCAGCACTTTCAGCTGTTTCATAACTCTGTGAACCTCCTTGAATTTGTGGTGAAGCCAGAGGAATTTCTGTTTGTGGAATTTCAGCAGCAATTTCAGCCACCTCGATCGGAATTTCCTCAAGTGGTTGTTTCTTATCCTCCTTTTCATCATATTGTTGAGTTATCTCCTCACGGATAATTTCTTTCACAATTAATGGACTTTCAGACGCTTTCCTGGCAACTTCTTGCTCAGAGATTGGCTTGAATTCAATTTTCTCCTCCACATAAGATGTTTCAATTTCAGGCTCAATTACAGGTAATTCATCACCCACAACCTCCACTTGAGCAGGCTCCTCAAGAACCTCCTCAGTCACCTGTTCTTTGCCATCAACAATTCTCACATGACGAACGATCTTCTTCTTAATAATCGTGACGAATTTTGTGATCTTCTCAGGAAGAGACTCGGGAAGAGATTCCTCATCGGAATTTTGCTTGGAATTCTTCTCCTTCTTCTTCTTCCTGGCCTTTGCCTTCTCCCTTTCGGGCTTCTTGGGCTCATCTCTCTCGGGTTTCTTTTCCTCTGCTTTCGTTGGAAATTTCACCTCTTGAATTTCCGACACCAAAATCGCCGACGATTCCGCTGTTTGCTTGTCAATTGGCAATCTCACTTCAACAACATTATCAGTCACTTCACCATATTTTAGGGATTTTTCCACTTCACTCGATTGAGAAACTTTTACATCTGTCTCCATTGAAAGCTCATCGGAAACTGACTCGCTCGTCGGCTCTTCCACATCAACGATCACAATTTCTGGCTCGAGAATGGGGATTTCCTGCCCAGTCACTTCCATTTCAACGGGCTCTTCAATCACCTCCTCAGTCACGTGTTCCTTGCCATTAATAACTGTGATGTGACGAATGATTTTCTTGCGAATTATTGTGATGGTGCGTGTGATGTACAAATCAGAGTCATCAATCTTGGGGATCTCAGCCTCACTCGTAGGAGTAGCAAGTTCTGCCTTTTCCTCTGCCTTTTTCTGCTTCTTGGACTTCTTCCTCGAAGGTTTTTGGGGCTCTTGCACAATTTGTGGCTCCTGTGCTGCCTCTTGAACAGTTTTCTTCTTGTCCTTCTTCCTAGCTGGGATTTCTGGCTTCGTTTCTTCAGTCGAAGCCTCCTTTACAGGAGGCGAAATAACATCTTTTGCCCTACTCTTCCTCTGCGGCTTTTTCGTGACATCTTGCTCGGGACTAGAATCAGAATCGCTCCTCCTGATCTCCCTGTGCTGTGGCACAGGTGATACCAGACTGGGTGATGGCGTTAGCTTGTCATCTCTTCGTGTGACTGCACTGTCATGAGAAGGAGACCACATCGTTGTTTGCATCTCACTGGATGGCTGGAAACTCTTCTGTTCCACCTGATGCTTCCTGGATGGTCTCGGTGACACGCTTGAGGGATATAAATCCGCTGTGGTCACGCCCGTGGGCAAATCACCAGCTTCCATGCCCTTCAGCACATCGGCATACGTTGTATTACCCGGACACCAAATGGGACTCCGCGAGCGCTCTCGTGGAACTGCACTCGCACCGCCGAGCAATTCAACATTCACTGATGTTTGCACTCTATTCGGGGATCTCGATTGACGTGATTCGTCCAACACTTGCGTTTTCTGCACAACTATTTCTGGCACAATGTCCAATTCAGCATGATTCATCACTTTCCCACTCTCCTCCACAACTGGCACTCGCTCAATTGCCTCATCTCTCGGCAACACTTCCACCGGCAGCGCCGGCTCAATCGCCGCTGCCCTCTCGCGGGCCAGGAAGTCGGTTGGACGGGGCGGTTGCCACACTGACTCCTGCTTCTGCTTGCGTCCAAAGAGGACATCGGCATAAGTTGGTCTCGGTGCAGATTCCCATCCGACCACCACTGGTAAATTAATATAGGGGTCCAGTTGGCGTATCAGCGTGACGAAAGAGTCAATTTTGTGTTGACTTCCCTCAATGGAGGTCCTCAGTGCCTAGGTTGATGGCATACAACCATGTCAGTTATTACAATCTTGCAGATGGAATGTGTAGATTTTGTATATAGATTATAAGATAGGATTATAGAGAGAGTAATGTTTTGATGAGGACGAGATTTCTTGCATAAACATAAAGAGACTGTGAAATATTTTGTGGTGGCGACATAATAGCATTTGATGGTGAGATTGAAGACATTGCGCCCGCCTCCCAATATTACAGAGAGAGAGATAATTCAGCTGCTCCCCAAAGAGATTGCATATTTGCATTATGTATGATACGACAGAAACACAATTAAAGAGGAAAGCATTCAAGTTGTTGGCATATGAAATGATATTTTTATTACCTCTTGAGATAATATAAAATATTTTTTGGCATTTTCTTGCTTAATTTTGGTTTAAAAGTGCTACACATAAAGGTTTTTTTTTTCTTTTGAGTATAATGATATAAAAAAGAACAATTTGTTGATGTTTACTTGATATAATAAAGGAAATAAATAGAGACTAGCAAATGAATTAAACGATGTAATAAGAGAATACACTAAAGGCTAAGTATCAAGAAGCATTTCAGTATCTGGTGTTCCACGCTGAATCAACAGCTTGATGCGTTCATTGCGAGCACTAAGCTTAACTTGGACAGATTTTATACGTTCCCGACATGCCTAGAGACACCATAAGGATGCATATATAGATTTCGTTTTTGTTTTAACACCCAAAACCAAATGAGAGTGTTATTAATCAGAACAGTTAGTGTAAGATCAGGAGTGATATTTTTTGGTGGGCAGGACAGATAGACATATGTAGATATCACGTGGAATTTTCACCGTTTCGTAAACACATTACACGTAGGTTATTCAAGGCAGATTTTCCGGGTTTTATTCGTTTTTGCAAAACGAATGGGGAGGATCGTTGATTGAGATGGGGATTCAAGTGCAACAAAAATACAGAAAAAAGTATAAGATCAACAAAATCAAAAAAAAAGTTCAATTGTGTCATTGAGAAAAACCTAGGTGTTTTGTGTAACAGTGTTCCAACTAGACAACAAGATAGAGACTTCAATTGAATATCACGTTTGATTACCAACATAATATTCCACATATTACTGTGAAAATAAAGCCCTGAGGTCAAGAAACGTGCAAGTTGCCTTATCTTTATCTTAATAGGTATATAAATTTTGATATCACTTGCAAATTCCTTGGCATTCTAAGCTGATTACTGATTTGCATATCTCATGTGTTTCCATCACCAATATAGTGCAAAAGAGTTTCATCTTAAAACCCAAGACATGAAAATGTAAGATGGAAATTTTATGGAAAATATTTTATCATTGCAGAGTGGACTAAACTATACACACAAATTTCTATAATTCCGATGCATTATTTACCAAATTTCAACTGTTAAAAATAATCCACTTTGCAATACATAAATATACTGAAAAAAAATCGTTGATTCTCACACAATGAAAAATATTCAATCTTCCATACAAACTCTTCACGATCTTGGTATGAAAAAAAAGGCATTACATCAACTAGTCACGTGCCATTGCAATCAATATAAATAAACAATGAAATATAAATTAAAATATATAATTTCATACTGCGTGTTAAAGTGAATTTTGTGTGATAAATCTCTTCGACTAATTTCCTCAAGTCTTTTTCTCATTTGTGATTCTGAGGCGCGAGAATGATTTGTGAAGTGTTGTCGTGAGATGAAAAGTGAAATCTTGAACACTCACCTGTTCCTCTGCGGCTGCACGATCGCGTTCATGTGCCAAATAACTTGGCGACAAGATGTGACGCAGTTGCTGCTCCTCGTGAATGACTTTCTGACGCAGGGATTGAATGTTTTGCTGATAGAGATCAATCTGATTGAGAGTCTCTTCAATTTGACGCGTCCTCTGTCGTATCAGATCACGCAGTTCATCCAACTGCACCACAATATCACTGGCGGCTTCGAGGATCTTCGAATCAACATTGGGCAGTTCACGGAAATGCACCTGCAAAGACAATCAAAGACATTGCCCAATGAAAATTCCCACCAACAACTAAAATCTCTTTCCGCCATTACTTGTAGTTTCTCGATGGACATGTGAATTTTGGTCTTTTGCGTTGATATATCAGCCAGAGTTTTCTCGTGAATACCCAATTGATCACGCAGTGGCTTTTTCCGCTGCTGCGGTGACTCCAGTTGGCTCTTAGTCTTATCTATCCACGCTCGGACCTCCTTCATCTTCCGCTCGCACTGCTCCCACTCCTCGCACGTCTCCTGCAACAGTCCATTCCTCTCCAACAGTCTTCCTTCAACAACAGCTTTTGAGTCCTCGGCCTCCTGAAGCTTGTCTCTGAGTTCTCCAACCGTCGTCAACTCAGTGATCTGCTCCAATTCGCGATCCATCTCGCTAAGGTTCTTGTTGATCGGCTTAACACTCTTCACCGCCACGGCATAGTCGGCAGCCTTCTGCCTCAACTGCTGCAGGGTCACGATGTCCAGTGGCTCGGCCAGGAAGTATCCCTTCTCCTTCACCCAATCCATCACTTGTTGGTACAGATGCAGGAATCTCGACCATCCATCCAATGTGTTCTCCACTTGCTTGCGCTTGTCCGCCAGCATGGCTCCAATCTGGTCCAACTGCTTCGCCAACTGATCCACTGTCGCCTCAATGAGCGCCTTCTCCTCCTCATTCTGACTATGATCAATTATCACTTGGCCATTTTTGCGCACATAGTTGAGCCTATCGCCGACTAGAACATGCTCCTGGTTCAACTTCTGCAGAATATCCTTAAATTGTGCCGGCTCCAATTCGTGATTGTTGATCTTATCCTCAGCGCTCTGAATCCACTTTTGTATCTCATCCACATTCGTGAGGTATTCCGATCGGACAGTTCGGGCCTTCTTGAAGTCCCTCATCTTGTCCTCCATCGCCTCGTGCACTTGCTCCAGCATCAACTCCAACGTTGTCAATTCCTGGGCGATGTCCGTGGGTATGAAGTTTTGTGCGTTATTGTAGTTATCCCTCAAGTTCCTGATGAACTTCTTCACCTCGCTGTCCTTGTCGTTGAGGTTCTTCCGCAAATCTCTCAAATTATTCTCAGTCTGCTCGAGATTCTCCCCAAACACATAGAAATCCACCACACGTCCTTTCAACTCTCGCAGTTGATTCTGCAAATCGATAATATTCAAATACTGCCGCTTTATCCACTCAAGAGCCTCCCGATTCTTGTTCACACGATCCTTAATCGACTTGTGAAGTCTGCAAAGAGAGTTAAGAGAGAAAAAAAAAATAGAAGAATAACAAACAAGTACTCAAGTGTGTGCCACTGAAAATCACACTGTTTGCCCAATGATGTTCACCACAAAAGCCAGAGAGAGGAAATTTCGACGAAGAAACCTGACGTAATGCGTAAAATTGTCTGTGCAGATCTCACATTCTATAAATACGAAATCTCCTCTCACACCCATAATCTCTCCTATATCTCAATTATTGATGTTCAACAAATTGCAAAAAAGAAATTCCTCGTGTTGGGGAAAAAATCTCTGCCTGTATGAACTATAATTACAAAATTCCCTCCGACAAAAATATCATTTATCGCATGTCATAAAAGGTTTCGTGCACAATCTTTTGATAAAAATACACTGAGGAAGTGAAATCTCAACGTGGAAAAAAAGTCGTGATTTAATCCCATTTAAGAGCCACCATCGTAAATCCTTAAGACCAGAGTGAGAAAATTGAGCAAAAATAGACCAAGCAATAATTTATGCTAAATTCAATCTCGTAAAAGCTCTACTGAATATTAATTCCAATCAATTTTGAGAGAATATAAACCGCAAATTGGAACGCGAATCCCATTATATAAGTCCATGAGGCAGGCACCTTGTTTTACACGACTTTAGCACAGATTTTCCTCGCACACTTTCACTTGGGGCTCTCAGTATATTATCCAAATGTGTTCAAACGCTGTCCTCAAAATATTTGGGCGCTTCTATGATGTCTTCTCAGCCAATTTCCAGCCATCCAGTGTGATTCGCGTCAGAATACGTTATGAGAGAATCATCTAAGTCTGAGAAACGAACCTCCCATCGTCACCCAATCGTTTTCTGGTTAGTCGCACGTATAAAAAGATATATTTATTTTAAATATTCGGCTTTTCTTTCCTCATCTTTAATTGTGCACAGACTTTATTAATAGATCTTCGTACACAACTTCGCGCTTTCCTCTCGCGATTTTCATCTCACACACATACAAGCAAGAAATCTATTGCGAAAAGGGGAGAAAGATAGGAATTTTGAGCATGTGCAAAAAATTCCTCTGACTCAAAATTTTGCACGAGTTACAGGGAAATTAATTTATTTCATCCGCACACGTCCACCATGTGAGTCACAAGAATAAGCACAGTCGAATACATAGCCCGAAAGCTTCACCGGCATCTCAGTAAACAAAAAAATCAAAGCGCAATAAATAAGTCGTCTTGAATTAATTAGGCATTTCAATGCCTTGACCCTTGAAACGATCTCCTAGACGTGGATAAAATTAGCTTTCCCAGACGATTGATCCTATAAATCAAGAGTCTGTCAAGCATTGTACACGCTCTGTTGCGATTATTGCTTTTTTCCACTGAAATTCAGAACACGCCACACTCTGTATTCCTCCAAACTCTGTCATACTGACCAAAAAAACACTGTCCTTCACCTCTTTGCAATTCTATCTCAATCATTCTATTCTTAAAAAAAAATCTGCTACTCTAACACAATGGCCAGAGATCGTGAAAAGTGAAACATCCCACCCGATAAATGTGATCATCGCAATTGATTTCAGTGCCTTCATTTACTTATTCGTCAGAAAAAGGCCCCACGCAGTGTATATATGAGTTTCAGTGGCACTCATCACACTGGTTTTAGCATCACAGTAAATATTGACTTTGGACATGGCGATTCACTTTCAGCGGATTCTCAAGCTCGCAATAAAAAAAAGATGTCGAATTTGCATGAGGTCATACTCAATTTTTAACACCATTTGCTTACTACTCTCGCTCGACATCGTTCATCCGTCAATTTGTGTGATATTTTAGCATTATAATGGGGAAGTAACTCACGTTTTATGCGACTCATTCAATGTCTTCACAGTGTCCTCGACACTCTTTGCACAGGCAGGATTGACCCTCTGTAGCAGGTCGTGCACTGTGTCCGCCAATTCGGTCAGCTCCTCGCACAGAGGACGGCAGTTATCAATCTTCGCGGCGAGATCCTGGGAAAAAGAGCGAAAAAAAACCAACATTAAACCCACCTATTCATGCCCATACACAATCGCGAGTGCGGTGAAAACCAATTTCCACACTCAATGGATCATTAAATTTCCAATTAAAGCTCGATATGCGACAAACAACACCACATATGGTGTAATTTCTCACCTGAAGCGCTGCCTCACTATCCTCGAGTTGCTTCCTCGATCGGACAACAGGATCGAGGAGCTTACATTGCTCCCCAATGTGGGTCAATTGCGTGTCCAGAGAGTGCGCCTTCTTATCCAATTGCTCCCAATTCTCCAACAGCGATCCGATGAATTCTTTCCTACGCTTGAGGTCGACAATCAAATTATTCCAATTCTCATTAATCTTGCTCTGCTGTCGCTCGATCTTCTCCAAATTGTCTGCATCGGCGAATCGCTTGATGATTTGCGCCTTCTCATTCAACGCATCAACATCAACTGATTTGGCCTGCAATTAGTTCAACTGTTAACGCTCCGAGAGGAAAGCAAAAACAACTTGTGATAAGATTATTCTTCAAGTAATCTTTCGGAATGTGTCGATTAAAGTCATTTACAATCCATATAAAGTCATTTGGAAGAAAACTTCTGTCAATTCGCACTACTCAAAGTCTCCTAATTGGTTATAATGAAAAATAACTTCTTCTTCTCTGTTGTATTTACAAAGATTCAACACTGTTTTTGGCAAATTGCCGGTTGCTACTAAACACTTTCTGCAAGTTGACTGTCTGAAGCCCACAAACCGACTAGCCTCATGTCGAGAACTCTTGCGATTGCACGATCGCATACATGAAAAGCCCGTTGAAAAGTGTGTGACCAAAACATGAATCGAATGAATTCACTCTCAAAGCATTCTCGCGACAAGTCGTAATAATTTTCACATGTATTTCCACTCGACTTGGTGTTTTATTTATCAAAATGCTAAGACATATAGACAAAAAACTCATACATAAGTAGTACAAAATGTGCTACACATCAAAAGACCGGCTACTTTAGCCACCACTGAAGGTGAAGACACGCCGATGACATCATAGATTATTTTCGCTTCATGGAAATATTAAATTATCAATTCTCGCATAATGCCGCGCGACATGCCGGAATGTTTAATCTCTGTAATGCGACGTAATTTCACCACATTTCACCGATCTTGCGCATCCACCAACAATCTTATTACCTTCCAATTTAAAGTGGGGAATTTCTGATACTCTCTGGAAATAAGACACGAGTGGAATAGCTAACGACCGGAACTAATTGTGTGAGTGTATCTCTTGGAGGCAAAGAAGAAGCACTGCAGGAAGCATATTTATACGTTCCGCCAAGAGGTCAAGGTGAAGAACACTTGATTCCTACAATAATCACTACATCCGAGCCCCAAAAAAATAATTTTGCTTTCTTCACTCTTCGTCAGACAATTCCATAATCGCTGGTTAGGTAATTTGGTGATTATCATGCTTTTTGACGGTCTTTTTTTCGCACTCTTTTGCCAACGAAAAACAATCGGGTTATTTTTAATTTTCATACTCCACAGCATTTCATATGTTGACTTCAACAAGAACCCGTGGCAATTATGGCGAGAGTATTTCTTATTATTGTTTTCCTACACCCTATTACTCGTTATCAAATGACACGGAATAAACTCATTGATTGTAACACACTTTATAGCCTTATCGGCGGTAATGTTCAAGAAGAGAATTTTTAATCAGTTTTTGTTCCGTAATCCTTCCTCGACTTCCTCAAAATCAGATTATTTCCTTATTGTGTGAATTTCTAAAATTTGCGGGGCCAACAAAACTATTTCTGAATTTCGCAATCATGTATATCAGTACATAAAGTGCAAAGATATACAAAATAACAACTCTATCGCTTTCATTGCAGATTAAACACACACAAACCAGAAATAATGAAAACAATCTAATGGAAATAAACATTGGTGGAATCGATTGAGAGACATAAAGTCATGAATAATCACACATCAAGTTATAAATAGAATAATTGCAAACTCACCTGAACATCATTTAGCGCATGGTTGACTTTCTGCAGAATAAAATTGAGCGACCCCAAATTTTCTACACTCTCTTCTGGCAATTTTGACCTTGCAATGAGATTATTCACTTTTTCGTAGCACTCACAGTATTCTTTCCACAATTTCAGATTCTCCTCGAGGTGATTCTGGTGTGATTTTGCAGCACTCACTGTATTCTTGAACACTTGCTTGTGGTGTTGAAGCTCACGCGACAAGTCATTCTGCTCTGAATTGTTCAGAGATGACCAGATCTTGTCTGCCGCCTCCTGAATCTGCACAGTCACCAAATCCGTCATCATGGGCTCAGTGCCGAAGAAGAGCTTGTGCTCTTCCAAATCACCGACTATATTCTCAAAATTGATGCCGTGTTTGCTGTTCTGCAGACGCACTTCAACCTCCTCCAACCAACTGTTCAGCTTCGACACAAGCAACAGGTAGTCAAGTCGATACTTCTTGTTGTTCTGCAAATACTCCTCGCGGTCGTTCAATTCCGCCGGCAGCGTCGTGAGCAGCAATCGACTCTCCGACAACATTTCCAACAACGATCCCGGCAATCCCACCTCATTGCGCGCCTGATCGTTGATCTTTTGAATTTCATCGAGGTGCTTCTCGATCTTCTTGCGCAGCGAGTGATGATTTTGAATTTCACGTTCCACACAATTTGGATCTCTGTTCAGCAGCGGTCGAGACTTCACCAGAGTCTCATTCTGGTGCAACCAGTCAAGGAGAGAGCTGAGATCTGATTGCATCTTCCTATGTTCCGCCAGAGTGTTCTCGTGCTTCTGCTTTTGACTCTCAATCAGCTTCCTCAGGTTCTGCAGTTGCATCTTCAGGGATTGCAATTGCTCAGTGATGCTATTGCGATCTGCAGCTGTGCCTTCAGATGCTATCTTATTGCCCTTATCCGCAGCAGATGCCAAAATCGCCTCACACTCCTGAATCTTGAGAATCACTCCGTCGTACTGTGCAATTTTGTCCTCAATTGAATCTCCAGACTTCTCAATATCCGTCACAACACCTGTGTACTTCTTGATGAACATGATAATCTCATTCACGAGTGCTATGAACTGTTCGCGCAAGAGCAGAAGTTGACGCAAGCGAGCCAATTGATCTTCAATCAACTGAATAGTGTCGTCTTGCTGAGTCACGAGAGTCTGCAATTCAGGGAGATTTTCCACTTGAATCTCGCCAATTTTCGCCTTACTATCTTTCAAATCTGAGAGAATTTTTTCATAAGATTGCAACAATTCCTGCACATCTTCGATTTTACTTCCAACGGGTTTATTTAAATTCTTGATTTCCGCCTGAATTAAGCCCATAAACTGGATATAATCTGTAACCTTTTGCTTGGCATCCAGGTATTCCTTGATATGTCTTTCCAAGTACTTCAATCGGTCATCAATCAAAGTCGAAAGCTTGTCATAGCGATCTCGGACTCCCTTCAGCTGATCAGAGAGCTTTTGCTTATCCGACGGCGTAAGCGATGGAGATATTTGGTTAGCTTCCTCTGATATATTTGCAATTGTACCTCGAATATCCTGAGACTCCTTGGCCAGATTCTTATACTTGGCGAGTTGTTCTTCCAGAGTGGGCAGATTTGTTGTTCTTAGTGGATTTGAAGTACTAACTTCAGTCTCACTGAGCCAGATTGTCACTCCCTTAAGACCATCCTCGAATTTCTGCCTATCCGGTATCAATGCCGACAGTTCACTCACCTTATTGCCCACATCTTGCTTTACGCCCTCAAATTCATCACGAATCTGCTGAATTTTTCTGCCCAGCAACTCTCTCTCATTCTCAGGTGCTGATCCAAATAGCGCTGACGATTGTTTATCCAAATCACTCAGCACGCCATCCTTGAATTCTTTCAAATCACTCTCGTGCTTCTTGCACTGGTGCAATTTCATTTCAAGATCAGCCACAGAAAGGGGATTTTCCTTCTCAATCGTGGGCTTGTTCATCTTCAGCCATTCACCTGCCTTCTCCAGATTTTCATCAATGGCTTTCCGCAACTGAATTTCTTTACCACAGCTGCCAATTTCCGCCTTCAAGAGTTCCTTCAGCTTCTGTTCATCGGCTTTCAAGTTCTGAATCTCAGTTTGAAGCTGCAACACTTCAATCGGTTCCAATTCAGATTGAATGTTGTTGAGTCTCTTTTCAAGTGTCTCGATAATAGGCTGCTTTCCTTCAGCCTGTTTCAATTGATTCTTCAAATGGGCCAATTTAGCATCTGCATTGTCACCTTTTTCTTCAGGACTGGATAACTCCTCAATTGAGGACTTGATCCAATTGTGACAATTGTCAATATCATTCTTCAGATTGTCCAGCCCCTTATTCGTGGACTCAATCACCTGGATCTTGCGATTGATCCTCTTGGAAATATCATTGAATCTTCGATCGACACCCTTAATTTGCTCCTCCACTTGCTGAGCATCCAAATTGCTAATCACTTCAATTGTCTTGCGGGCGATGTCCTTGAATGTGGCCAATTTTCCAGGCGATGCAGCATCAAATTCATCTTTAATCTTCTGCACAGTGGCCAACTTTTGGCTACAACTCAATCCACTGCCACTATCGAGGACATCCATGCGCTGGATGAACTCATCAATCCAACCATGAGTGGCTTGTGTGCACTTTCGATATTCATCAATGACAGCCTGGTCATCTCTCTTCTTTGCAATCGCCGCCATCAGGTCATCCTCCAATTTGTCAAGCCGCTCCTCGATCTTGGTTGTCTCGTCGTCGCCTTCAACTGAACAAGAATTTATTAGGTCAACCACGAAATATTTTCACTGTGTAGTCAATGTACTTACGTGGCCCTGACATTTCTGTGAGAAGCTGCGATCTCTTGTCACCGATCGCCGTCATAAGATCATTCATTGCGGTCAGTTCCTGTTTCGCACCGTCGCTACGTAATTTAGACGGTCGAGAGAGCCAGTCGGACACGATGGCCTGTTGTTTGTTGATCCAATCGTCCAGTTCAGTCCTTTGTCTCTCCAATAGCTCCAATTCCGCGATCGCCTTCACAAGATCACTCAAATATGTTTGAATCTGAAAAGAACGTATTATTTCTATTAGTACGGACAAGAATGCATTTTAAAATCAACCAGTCTCATACCTGATCGAGCTGATCTTCAAGCTGAGCTCGTACTTTGAGCTCCTTCTCAGGAATTGGTTGCATGGCCGATTCAATGGGAGAACTTGGACGACTGATGCTCGCTGTGGCGGATTCGCAAGCTGCAACAGCGGAAGCCAATCGCGCCTTCTCCTTCTGGAGCCCATTGTGGAGCTCTTGGGCGAATTTCAGTTGAACCTTGCAAGCATCAAGTTCACTTGGCACTTCCTCGGGTGGCATGATTGCTTCATTTCTGATCAGTTGTTGCTGAATATCCTCAAGTGTATCTTCATATTCCTTGAACTTCGCCATACTCTCCTCTAGACGTTTCTTGATTTGAATTGACGTCAACAAGAGAGAATTATAGCTGTCCTGCACATTCTTCAAGTGGGTCTCAATAGTGTTTTTGATGTATGGATTGCAGTGCTCATATCGACTTATCTGGTTATTACCCTTCGCCTTCAGATCATCCAAATTGGCTTGGTACTTTTGAATCTCATCCAGGAGAATTTCATGCTGATTCAACTGTTCCTGGGTTTGCTCGCGATTAGTTATGTACAGAGAATTGTGTGCCATAAGTTGGAAGGACACCTGAAGAAGCCACTTTTCGGTCTCTTGCAAACTCTGATGGTATGACAAATAGTCATCAATTTCCGTCTGTAATCCATTGATGACAGACTCGCATTTGGAGTTAAGATGATCCCAGCGAATAACTAAGCGATTTGCCTCCTCAATTTCATTGGGAGTCTTAGACCACGAGCTGAGTTCCTTGGCTTCAGATTTAATGTGATCCAGATCACTCTTCTTGCTCTGAATGTCTCCCTTGATATTCTTAAATCTCTCCTGTAGCGTCTTCATTTCACTGAGATCACCCTTATTCTCGAGATTTCCATTGAGAATCGCCTCAACGTCACTCAGCCATTTTTCAAATTTGTTCTTCGCATCGCGATAGTCCTCCCATCTCATGAGATTGCTCTTTGCCTTAGCAATACCATCATTCACGTCGCGATTCAGTTTGTCCCATGACTCTTGGATCTTGTCCATTTCCACTTGCAAATCGTCCTGCCGATCAGCCGGCGTCACACTCAGAGTCTTTGTAAATGCATCTTGGACAATAACAAACAGGGATTGTCCTTCTGGGAGACGACTGTACACATTGTTAAGGGAGTTGAGATTTTGACGGGTTGCCGCTTCATTACCAAGTACTGCACACTCCTTGATAGTGCCCTCCTTACCAGCAATCCACTTCTCCATCTGTTCCTTGTAGACTAAGAAGTTGGTTTGATCCGCTAGACATTTCTCCGCCTTGGAAACAAAGGCTGTAAACGGAAAATGAAGTTATCCATAAAATTTTCTTCACTTTTGGATACATAATTTGGACTTTAAAACAATACATAATAATAATACACATAGCAATGTATTTTTAAGAGGACGATCATCTCACCTTGAGCCGAGTTGAGAAGCTGAGAATATCTTCCTTGGAGATCAACTGTTTTGTCTCTCACCCAAGTACAAGCGCTCTGTTCCATAAGGGTTTCACAGCAGTCACTGAGATCCTCCATGTTCTCTCTCTGGTTCTGAACATCTTCCAGGATTTTCTGCAAATGATAACGATTCATGCAAGGAATTAGTCACAAGACGAGACGCTAAAGTATACGAATTATCTACCAAACTCACCTTGCAATCAGCCAAATCATTTGTTGTTATTTCTCCTCTCGTCTCCATCTGACGAATCTTGGCCTCATATTCTTGCAGCCACTTTCCGATCTGATCTGATTTCTCCGTAAACTTATTCCAAGTGGCGATGCAATTGGTCAAGGCGTCATGTGATTGCTTCGTGGTGTGTTGCAAACCATCCCAATCAGATTTCAATTGCTTAATCTCCTGATTGATCACATCCTGACCCTCACGACCACTGGTTGCGATCACATGGCCGCTCAACTCAATTGTATTCTCCATCAAGATCTTCCCCTCGGGCTGAGACAACTCAATTTCCCGCAGTTTCGTCTGCTTCTCCATCAATTGAGGTTTGTCTCCATGAGAATCTGAACAGTGCTGAATATCCATTTTTGTCTTACGAATCCATTCGGAGATTTCGCCATAAGCGAGCTTGTAATTCTCATGATATTTCACCTGATTTTCCAGGTTTTCTATGTTCTTGGCAATGACTCCCTGGCAATTCTCAAATCTCTTCAAACACGTGTCAAACTCCTTCTTGTCCAAGCTCTCATCATCTCTCAGTTTGTTCTTGATCTTTTCAATGGTATCATTGTACGTGATCATGTCTTTCTGAAGAGTGCGGTTCTTTTCCAAGTTTGTTTTCTTCTCACTCAATTCATTCAAATACGCATCTGCTTGTTGCAAATTGGGCTCGACTTCATCCAACCACTCATTAAGGATCTTAATCAGCTTAGTCACATCATCCAATTGAGCTGCCCGATTTGTCAACTTCTGCTTAATATCGCCAATCTCTGAGATCAATTTTTCAAACTCATGCTTGAGATTTTCAGTGTTCTCTTGAATTTTGGCAGCGCCATTGATCTCTGTGTTCATGATCACTTTCTCTTTCAGTTCAATCGTGTATCTGAGTTTATTTTGACCTTGTTCCACCATCTGTTTGATATTCTGAATGGTGTTGAGTTTGTGATTCACCTCGGCAATCGTATTCGGGATCTCCAGACATTCATTCAACTTGTCATGAATCGCCTCCACCCAATCCTGACATTCACCATACAGCGCTTGATGCTGCTGATGCTCTTGATAGTGCAACTCAAGTCGGCGCATCACTTCCTTGGCTATTGACAGAAGAGCATTGTATTTTGTGGTGAGTTGAGTCACTCCATTGCTAATTCGGGTGTCAGCACAGATTTCCAGGAGAGTCTGCGCTGTTATATTGAGTTGATCAAGCTCACGTTGCCAGTCGAAAATTGTCTGCAAGTGGTTCTGGAATTGTTCTAGCACATTCTTCTTCTCCTCCAGACTGTCTTGCAACTTGTTGTATGACTGCACCAGGGTTTCCGTCTCCGTGAGCCAATCAAGAGCTTCCTTATACTGATCATCGTATTCTGTCCACTTGACAATGCCAATCTCAAGTCTCTGCTTTGCCTGCTTCAAATTTTCACTGCAAGAATCATAATTCATAAAAATGTAACAATTTGAAACAATAATTATAATCTATTTTCAGTATACTCACACAAAGTTGTCAAACTCTTCTTGAAGGAGCGCCACTTCCTCCTCAATCACTTCCCGATCAACCGGAATGGCATTGTGACAAGCGATTTCTCCTTGCTCCAATACTTTGTTCAGCTTCGGAGTCCCTTCGTCATTCACCTCATTCTGCAGCAATCGAATCTGACCCAGTTTGTTGGTTAGAGTCTCCTTGTCTCCCACAGGCTCTGAACTCTTGCTGAGACGCTCTTTAGCGTTGCGCAGCCACTGAGCAAAGTCATTCCCAGCATCGATTAACGCCTGATGATTCTCAATTGTCTCCTTTTGCTTTTCGTACAAGTCCTTAGCCTGTTTGCTCAGATTTTCATACTTGAAAGATATCTCAGAAGCTGGGATGGCTTGCTGCAAATCGGAGGCTTTTGATGTGACAGACTGGATCATCGGTTCAAAGGACACAATGTCTTGGACAATGTTGTTTGTCTGTCTAAGGTTGGCCTTTCTCTCACTGAGCCCTGATGCCAAGCCTGGTTGTCCTTTCTTCGATTTCGCCACCTTCTGCTCACACACTTGTTGGAGTTTGGCCTCACGATCGGAGATCCATTGCTGCAATTGGGAGTAACTGGAACTGTAGTCTGCCCACTGAAGAAGACTAGTCTCCAGATGAACCTTCACAGTTGACATCTTCTTCACCAGTCGATCCCACTCATTTTGAATCTCCTTGATCTGATTATTGATCACTTCCTTGCCATCTGAGCGTGTACTTCTCAGGACTTTCTCACCATTATTCACAGTTGTATGAACAAGATTCTGGCCTTCTTCGCGGCGGCGAATTAAATCGGTGATCTGTTGCAATTTCGCCTGCAGTGTTTCCTTATTGGAACTGCTGGACGCTTCGCTGCACTCTCGAATAATTTCTTTAGCATTCTCAATCCAATTGCGCGCATTGTTCGCACACTCATCAAACTCCTTGTGTTGTTCATAGTTTGTCTCGACTTTCTTGTACACGTCCTTTGCCAGATTCACCTGCACTTGAAAACGAGAATTCAAATGCCGGAGTTGATTGTTGACATACGTATCCAAGTGAGAGGCCAATAAAGGAGCTGCAGATTTATTAAATCTTTCAATGTCCTCTCGACCCTTCTCCAGTCTCTTCAAGATGTCATCCATTTCCTTCACCTGCTTTTGCTTTTCATGAAGCGTGGGCAGAAGATTCAACTTGTGATTCTTCACGAGAATATCAATTTGTTGAAGCCACTCTGAGAGTCTCTCATATTCTTCCTTATATTCCCTCCACAGGATCACTGTCGACTCCAGTTGATCCTTCTGCTGAGAGATCTCCCTGAATAGTGACTCAAAGTTTTCACGAAGTTCCGCGATATCTCGACGAATCACTTCCTGTCCAGGCTCTGATGTGCTCGCAAGGACAACTTCACTTGTATGTTGAAGATGTTCCACCAACAATTCACCTTGAGGCTGTTTATTGAGCAACGCTTCGAGAGGTGTCAGAATATTCTCAATCGTTAGCTTGTCACTCAAAGTTTGTTGCTTTAGTGAAGGGAACTTATCACGAGCTCTCGCCATCCAAGCAGATAAATCATCATAGGCTTCTTTATACAATCGATGATCACGATATTCTTCCTCGCGCTCAATCATGAGCTTGTTCATCTTGTCTGATAACAAATCAAATTTGTCAAGAATTTGCTGAGCTTGATTAGCAGCCAAACTCTGTTGGCCACTGGCAATCATTTCTCTCGCCTTAGCCTTCAGAATATCAACATCCATTCTTTCGAGGCGAATTTTCTCCACTGCATTTTTAATGCGCTCCAGCATTGCTCGTTTCTCTGTCATTGTCGCTTGATAGTTACACAACTCCTGATACGTATTCTCCATCCATTCAGCAGTTTTGTTCACATTCTGCACCTCTTCCAGAAATCCTGACCACTGGTTGATTGATGCATCCAGTGATGTCTTCACATCGATCATCCTGAGTGCTAATGTCGACCAGTCCTCTTGCAATTTCGTGAGAAGCTTATTGATCGCCTCATGACCAGCCGGAGCGGTATTGGCCAAGACATTCTGTGCCGTCTCAATGACAGACTGTACTTTACCGAATCCCTCATCTTTAAGCAGAAGGAGATCCTGGATAGTGGCCAATTTATTCTCCAAGTCCTTGGGCGATGTAGCCGACAGATCAGAGCAGTAGTCAAGTTTCTGCTTAATATTGTCGAGCCACTGATTACAATCATTGAGCTTATTGTCGAATTCCTGATGACCAGATACATATTGCTGCCAACGAGAGTGAAGTTCTTTGACCTTAAGACAAACCTGCTGGTATTTAAGCACTAATTCTGAGATTTGAGTACTACGGGAACTTGCCAATCCTTTGTACAGCAACTGAGCACGCTCAGTCACACTATCAATTTCCAATTCCTTGGCACGAACTTCACCCTGCAACTCTTTGAGGGCTTCCAATTGTTCAATTTTCTCGGCCTTGGTTGTCTTTAGATCAATAGCATGCAATTTACTATCTGTCCCAGAAATCCATGCAACACACTGATCACGGAGCTTCTCGTATTCATCCCACTGCTGCAGCTTAGCCATTACATTATCAATGGCCGTCTGGACAGATGACACCAAAGCTTCCCACTCCTGCTGGGAGTTGTCAACTTGAGCCTTAACGTTCACCTGACCCTCCTCCGCTGTGCCAGGAAGAACTTTCTCGCCAAGAGCACGGATATCGTTAATTCGACTCGTCTCATCGGTATACTCTTGCTGCACTTTCTTCAGACGATCAAGATTGCTGGCCAAGGAGACACGATCAACGTCCAAGTCTCCCCACAGATTGACAGTGTTGTGGGCTGCTTCAATAAATTCTTGGGTATCCATAACGGCTTTACAGTACAGCTGGTGATCATTCACTATATTCACATACGTTTCTAGGTGCTTTTGTGCCAGTTTTAGTAAATTTCCGTACCTCTCCTCAAGACCTCTGAATTGATTCTCAATTGTTTCATTCTGTTCAGGCAGATTTTCAATCAAATCCTTCAAATTAATCATTTCCGGCTTGTGATTTTGAATATCTGCGAGATTATCGCGATAATTTTGCAATTGAATCCGTTTCTCATCAAGAGTAGATTTTAGTATCAAATTCTCACTCAGCTGTGATTCCATATTTGTCAAGTAATCCTCCAGATTTTGAGAACACTCCTCGAAACCAGACCATTTGGACAGTTTCGTTTGAAGAGCTCTTGTCAGTGTTCCCAGATTATCGAATAACTTCTCCATCTCATGTTGAAGTTCCTGTAGCTGTTCTCGGATCGCTTCGCGACCTTCCAAAGCGGTTGTCTGATAAAGCTTCTCACCCAGTTCAATGGTATTGTTCAGCAAAAGAGTGGCATTGGCATTTTGTGACAACAGCTCTTGAACAGCATTATACTTCACAAGCAGATCTTCTTGAGAACCAGCCGTAGACAAATCTTGGCACTCTTGATATTTCACCTGAGCAGACGAAAGCCAATCTGAACACTGCTTGTACTTGTCGTTAAAGACTTCGTGATCTTGAACAGCTTGCTCGCATTTCTTCACAATCTCTTTGGCTGTTGTCTGAACCGACTGGAAGCGAGAGATAATCTGCTGAATGTTTCCTGACAGGCGCACCTCGCCGCTTCCTTGAATTAGTTCTGAAGATTCATCTGTTAAATTGTCCAGATTGCTTTCATGCTGCTGAAGACTCTTCAGAAGGTCCTTATATTTCGTCTGTTGTTCTTGCTTTTCACCCAGAGTCGATTTCAGACTATAATTTTTCAAGGAAATTTCCGAATCTGATATCCACTCGAGCAACTGCTCTAAATTACTGTCAAACTGTCTCCATTGGGCTATCTTACTGTCCATGCCACTCTTCACATCTGCCAGGGCAGACTTGAATTTCTCAAAGTCAAAGCGCAAATTGGCCAAATCTCTACTCATGTTTTCCTTAGAGCGTGGTGGTATTAACTCTTCATTGTTTCTCAAATGATCACCAAGTACATTCAATTTTGCTTCACCATCCTGTAGGGAGTCTCCAATTTCATTCAGCTTACCCAAGCGTGACTGGAGAGTGGCCTTATTTCCTGCGAAATCTGAGTATGTCGCCAGAGAGTCCCACAAATTCTTCTGATAGTCTTGTTGAGTCTTGTGAAGCTCAGCGAAGATTTGGAAAATCTCGGACATTTTCTCCAATTGGGACAGTAGTTTGGCACACAGCGCCTGAACATTATTGTAGCGTGTGTTGATGTCTTCAACAACATTCTTGATCTCCTCTGGATTCTTCACAGATCCCACCTGAAGTAACTGATTTGCCTTCTCCGTTGTAACCTCGATCAGTCTCTTGTGCGCTGAAATATCCTGCCCTGCACTCTTCAGTTTCATCAGCTTTGTCTTGATCTCCTGATTTGTCGTCGACACGGATGCTTGATCTTTCTGTAGACCCTTCTCCACAACATCCAGCCACTGGAGCGCCTGCTGCAAGGTGTCTTTGTAATTGGACCACTGCATATTCTGCGATTGTTGGCGTTTCTGTAAATCCTTGAAATGCTCTTCCATGCTGTCCCATCGATCACGCACATCGCGCAATTCCTGACGGATCTTCTCCCTTCCCTGACCCAGGGTATCAGGCAATATCTTCTCCCCAAGCGTAATGAGGGATGAAATCATGCCGTCCGTGGCCTCTTTCTCCGTGATTAGTGATTGGAGAAGTGTTAGGTTGTCCGCAAGGGATTCAGGACTATCGAGGGCGGTTAGCTTATTCTCAATGGGGATTATCAGGGATAGGACTTCACGCATCTTGTTGTCATATTTTCGGTGATCCTCAACAAGACCTTGCCACCGATTAACAACTTCCTTGCTCAATACTTGAAGCAATTGGTAGCGATTTAGAAGCTGCATTGTCAATGTTTTAATCCTCTCAGTGCCACTTGAGCCCTGAAGACTGTGCGAAATGTCCACAAACTCATCGAAGTCCTTCTGTTTTTCAACAATTGCATTTCTCTCCTCGATGAATGTCTTCAGCTGGGACTCCTTCGTTTCAAGAGATGGCTGCAAGTGTTCCACTTTGAAGATGGTCTCCTTGCCTCGGCACCAGTTAGTGAGTTCTTCGAGTTTACTATCAAATTGTTGCCATTGACTCAAAATGGCTGTTTGCTTCGCCTTCAAATTCTCAATATTGGCAATGTGTGCCTCAAAAGCATTCTCGAGATCCACCACTTCGGCCTGGAGGATGTTCTTGCCATCAGTCGAAGTGCTCTTCCCCACAATTTCGATGTTCTCCTTCAATCCTTTCAGAGCATTCGCTCCTGTGGGGATATTCTTCTGCAGTTGATCCAAAATATTCATTCGGCGAGTGCTTTCAGATTTCTCTCCTGTGATGTCATCTGCTTCCAACGCCAATTCCTTCTCATTATTAAGCCAAGACTTGAAGTTTGCCAATAAAATGTTGTAGTTGTTGTGAATCTGAACACAATTCTCCAGATTGGACATCAACTCTTCTGATTTTCGAACGATGTTATCAAAGAGTTGTTTGATAGACTCAAAGTAGTGATTGAGTGAAGTGTCTTTTGTCTGGTCAACAAGATGTTGAGCTTTGTCACACACAGACTCCACAAGAGGATGATGAGATAAGATTTCCTGATGCATCAATCGATGGTTTTGCAATTGTGCTTTCTTCTCCTGAAGCGTACTCTTCAGCTCCATGTGATTCTGCATTGATTTTTCAACATCCTTGAGCCACTTGGTGAGTTGCTCCTGACTAAGAGTGAATTCACCAAATTGCAGAAGACACTGCTCCAATTTCTGAATGGCTGAATTCAAATCATCAGTATATTCATCCCACATTGTTCGCAAAATTCTCAATCTCTGTCGAACAATCTCTCTGCCATCAGGACTTGTGTGAGTGTACAATTTCTCACCCTTCTCAATTATACTCTCGAACTTTGAGCTATCAAGAATACGTTTATCTGCCAATTCTTTAATCTTATTAAGTCGATCTTGGAGAACTTCCAGATCTCCCACAGCTTCGCCATTCTCATTCAGAGTGGCAATCGTATTCTCCAGATTGTCTTTGAATTCATCATACTCTGTATTGAAATCTTTGTGATCCTTTGTGTAGTTCTCATATTTTGCAATTGAGTCTTTGCAACTATTTTTCACAGCTTGACAACGTGTGTTGAGCCGAGACACTTTCAGTGCTAATTCTGGTTCATTTTCAATATGACGCGCTTTCTCATTGATCTCTCCAATTTCCGTGGACTTGGCATTAATCTCATTTGCCAAATTCTTCAAATTGTTGAGATGTTGCTCCTTAGCTTCAAGACCATTCTTCAAGCTCTGATCTTTTACAATATTTTCCATTTGCTTAAGCCATTTATCGCAATTCTCCACAATGTTCTGGAATTCATTCAATTGACTACACATTTGATCGTGTTTCTTCAGCGCTTCGCGACATTGATCAATGAACTCCTTCCATGTCTTCTTCTGCTCTGCACAGTTATTTAAAAGTGCCTCGTGTCCGTTCTCATGAGTCTCTGGCAGAATTGTCTGCAATTTCTCGAAGCAAGTGTCAAAAATTGCATCTCCCTCTGGTTCCTGTTCCAGCAGATTCTCAATGATCAGCCGTTTCTCCTGTGAAGCTTCCTTTTCAAATTTATCCACATCCAAAACATCCACAGCAGTCACTTTTAGTGCCACTAACCAATCAGTTGCCTTCTCCAGTATCTCATCGTAACATTCGTGATTCTGCACATGGTTCTTATACACATCTATCTTGCCATTTACTTGCTTGGCGAGCTTGTCAAACTCAGAAATTTGATTAGAGACCTTTTCTAGGAGGCTCTTATCCGCCAACTTGCTAGTCTTGGCCTTTAGTTGATTCAAATTCTGCTTTTGATGCTCAATGTCTTTCAGCTGCGTCTTGTATTTCTGCAGAAGAGCCTTTTTCTCCACCAAATTCGTTCCCAACTCCATTTGAGCAGGTATTTTGGCAGAAGAATCCGTCAACCATTGGCTCGTCTGAGCAATATTCTCCTCAAGAGATGCCTTCTGAATGAGAATTCCTTCAAGATTCTTCAAAGTATTTACCACATCATTCTGGAGTTTATCGAAATCTTCCCTTACCGATTTGATATCATTTCGAATTGACTCACGATTAGCAGATGTTGTAACTGAACACAATGCTTCTCCAGAATCATTGAGCTTATCAATCAGAGCCCTGCCATTCTCCAATTCTGGAATCATAGCTTTCACTTGATTGATTAATTCCATCTTGGGAGTTTCACTCTTTGCTAGTTCCTGCGACAAATCTCCAAAAGCTTTCTGAGTCTTCTGCAGCCATTCTTTGCATTCATTTAGATTGTCTCCAAAGGACACGCCATTGGCCTTAACGTCAGAATGTCTGATCAATTGATTGCCCACCTGCTTCAGCACTGCAGCATATTTTTGTCCCAGATGAGTCACAACTTGATTAGGGCGGGCTTCTGGATTTTTCTCATTTAGAACTTTACCCAGCTGCTCTAGTTTCTTCAATTTTGGTGCTACATCTTCGAGTGTGGATTTGTATGATTTGATTTTCTCCAGAGTACCATCGATGGTAGCAAGATTAATTTGAGTTGCACAGCCTTCCTTCAAATCTCCCTCAACCTGTTTCACAGTGGAAATAATACTCTCTGATGTCTTTTCATAATCCTCCCACTCGGAAACATTCTCCAGAAGAATATCACGTGTCTTTCCACAATTCTCTTTGAGATCCTCTAATTCTCTGATCAAATTATCATGATCATCGATTAACTTCTTGAGATTGTCATCCGCAGCGATATTTTCTAAAAGTTTAAGTGAATTTTTCAGATCCACATCGCGATTCTCAATATCACCAATGCTTCTTTGAATATCATTCAGAGCTGCTTTCTTCACCTCCAAATTGTATTTGTCACTTCCCGGTTCTGGAAGACACCAAGCGATCTTCTCCTTTTGTGTGCCAATCATTCGGCGGAGAATATCAATTTTGTCCGCATGCAATTTTCTCAAGAACTGTATGAGAGTCTCCTCAATTTTATTAGCATTCGCATGGACGTTCTCATATCTCTTCTGCACATTGTTAAGCTCTTTCGGAATTATGGAATTTGCAATAGATGGATGAATTTCTTGCATTTCCACTACACGGCTAGCCAAATGATTGATTTCGTCCCCACAATTTGTCAGCTCCTGCTTCAAGATGTCACACGTCTTAATGCGTTCAATGATCTTCGTTGTATCACCAGACATATCATCACATTTTATGAGTGCCTCTCTGATTTTATTAACTGCTTCACCAAACAATTTTATACACGTGCGAATTTCCTTCTCTTGTGCATTGAGTGTTTGAGCCATTGCCTCCAAGTGCCGAGCATTGCTCTCGACAGTGCTGAATTGCTCATCGACAGAAGCAACGAGACTCCCCAACATTGGCAGATCCTCCTTCTTTAATTCCTTGAGTTGTTCAACTTTCTCGCACAGTTCCTTCTTCAGTGACATATACTGAGGCAACTCATTCTTATACTTATTCAATCGCACAGCACTGTGTTCAAGTTCTTGGATATTTTTCGCCGAATCACAGAGATTCTGATTCGTATCACTCAACCACGGGAATAATTCGTTCTTCAGCAAATCAATCTGCTTCCACAGAGCGCTCTCAGTCTCAAACTGCTGAGCTTTTTGAGCCACACTGTCCAAAACAGCCTGGTATTGCTGATGAGCATCTTCAACCACCTCCACAACTTCCACCGGCTGTGATTGATACGGTGTCTCAAAGAGTTTCAACAGTTGATTACTCTTCTTCTCCAATTCATCCAGCGGAGCCTTGCATTTGCGAGCAAACTCTAGTGATCTCTTCGATGCTTCTGAAGCGTGAATGATGTTCTCCTCATCGGCGACATCAACGGGAATGAGATTAGCCAATTGTACGGCCTTTCCCATCTCACGTGAAAACTTATCCTTGGCATCCACGTACTCTTTCATCGCCTGATGAATCACACGATAGTTGGCAATCCGATCAGCAATTTCCTGATTCAAATTCTCCCACTCGCGGTCCATCATGAGCAGTGCCTCCTGCACTTGATGTGTCCCTGAAATATCAGCACTCATCACAGTGTTGCCGGCGTCGTGGATTCTCTGCCTCATTGGAGCCTGATTCCTTAGCGTATTGCCCAGAATCGTAAGCTCATTTAGCACATGCTCTAAATTTGATGGCGTCAACTTTGTGGCTGTGATCTCGGTCAATTTCGCCCGAGCCTCATTCAAATTGGTAACGAATGATTTCTCTAATGTGGCAAAGTTATCTTTCTGCTTTGTTTGCTTCTCTGACGAATCAATTTGGTCCACAGTCTTCGCCTTCAAGGCATCCAATTTGGTCTCAACGGCATTGAAGAGTTGCGGAAGATTGAGAATATTCCTCGTGGTTTTGTCACGCACCTGAAGACAAGAGAGTTCCTCATTCAAGTGCGGTTGTGTCTTCCAATCTGCAACACTCTTAGCAATGTCATCGATTTCCGATAAGATCCCTTCCAATTTTGATCTGTTCTTGCTTTCAGGGCTCTCTAGTTGGTGTTGAATGTGTTCCAAATGGCTGTTTGTCTCACTCAGCCATCCTAGAAGTTCTGTCCACTTTTCAAGAGCTTTTCTTTTATGCTCCAAGTTTGTGTCCAATTCTTGATAATCCGATACCAGAGAGGTGTAAGCTTCATTCAAAGCTGTTGCATCTTCAGGAGGTGCCTCCAAGACCATTGACTTCACCTCGTTGTAGATCTTATTGAAAATTGGCTTCTTATCGGCACTGTCCTGTTGCAACTCGTGAACAATCTGTGCAGCATATTCCAATTTATCCGTTGTGATCTCATCTGTTTGCATCGACTTGGACCTTGTCTCGCCGATCCAATTAGAAAACTCAGCCAATTGAGTATTGAAATCTTGGCGACTCATGATTGCATCCATAATTTCATTAATCTTGTCACGAACTCCCTCGGAGAGATTTCCAATTCTCTGCTTCATCACATTCAGACGCTCCTTCAGGGCTGTAGCTCCCTCGGGTGCCACAGAAATGGCGATATTGTCCGAATTCTGTGTGAGTGCCATCAATTTAGCTTGATGTTCAGATATTTCATTGTTATATGACTTCAATTTTATCAATTCCTTTTCCAACTTCTCAATTTGTGGCGTTTGCAAAATTTTTGGACGCTTCTGTAGAACTTTCTCTGTATCATTGATCCATGTTTCCAATTTAGTGGCATCTGCATCGAAGTTTTGCCAATTTGACACCAATTTCTCAATCTTATTCCGTTGTTGTTTGGCATTTTCATGCACTGAATTCCATCGAGAGTTTATTGAATCTAATTCATCAGGAGCATTCGTTTTACAACTCAAATTCTGACTGATTGTTGCCGCATTCTGGAGTTTTCCCAGTTGATTCTCACACTCTATTTCAAATTGCTTTGCCTGCTGTTGCAGTAGAACAGCTTCTTGAAGGGAGACTGGCTTCGGTGCTGAGACATTCATTTTAATCTCGATATTTTCAATTTGTGGCTTAATCTCCTTCAATTCGGCCTGATATTTCTGCCAGTTTGTCAAGTCATGCTGTATCACATTGGCTTTATTGTCGAAATTGCGACTTATGGCACTGAAAGTTTCTTGCAGCTTGTGAACTTCGTTCTTCAAGCGTTTTGCCTCCCCCAGATTGCCCTCCTTGGGCGCCAGATCACTAGCATCACTGCCCAGAAGATCAAGCTGCCGCATTTTCTCACTTAACATCTGCTGAATCGATATCATCTTGGCCTTCTTCTCCTCTGGCGTCAGATCAACCGACTGCAGTGATTCTATCAACTGAGGAGCAGACTGAGCAGCCCAGGCCTGAAGTTCAGCCAATCTCTCCTTGTAGTCATTCCACTTATGACTGTAATCCTCGAGGTACTCAACCCTCTCCTTCACGTGATCCATTGTCCTGGAAAATTGCTTCTCCAATTCAGCCACATCCTTGGATAATTGTGGTTGCTTCTCAGTCGCCGTCAGAGGAATGAGGCTCTCTGATAATTCCCTGAGACGCTCAATCATCAGCTTAGAGGCGTGCTGCAAGTGAGCATTTAAGTCTCTTTTTGCCTTCAAATCGGAACTCACATTCTTAGGATCTGTCTGAAGAGGTGTAATCGACCTCAATTCCGTTTCGGCATTTCCTAGTAAACTAATGATTTCTGTCCTCTGTTCTGTGTACTCATTCCACACTTGTTGGGTGTCTTTCAGAGTCTTCAATTTATCAATAGACTCATTGTACGCCTCCTTCCATCCGGACTCCAGGGACTTCACTTCCACTGTGACAAAGGAGGGCGCATGAACGTCCTTGCTTAAATCCTTGCCACGCTGCAACATCGACACGATATTCGGACGCTGCTGATCGAGTTGATTGATGGCATACTGCTGCTCCTGCACCATCTTATTCACCTGAGCTAAACTCTCGGGCGCCTGAGCGGACAACGTTTGATCTCGGACTTTGTTAAGCAGGGTCACAATTTCACGCACTTCTCGCCGGTAGGTGTAACATTTTGAGAAAATTTCTGTACGCACCATTGTTACCTCGATGGTGGGGATGAGATTCTTGTAGCGCGCAATCATCATCTCCAACTTCTTCTGCTCCTCGGCCGCTTCACTCTCACTGGCATACGGCAGCAGCGAGTCGAGGCACTTTACAAGCCACTTCATGTTCTCCCTCTTGGAATCTGCATCATGGCAGATTTTCTGCGGAGGCACAAGAGACAGAAAAAAAAGATATAAGTAGAGATTCTCATCCAGAGTGGGGAATATTCAACGCAAAACACATATGATGTATGGTTTTGTTAGTGGAATTAATGAAATGAATAAAATTACCACCAAGCTTTGGAGCTGCATGTTAAAGAGAGCAATATAGAAATTATGAGACAACATATTACACAGATATGAGAGATGATATAATCATGGTCAGATGAGTGCTTACCTGGAAGACAACTCTCTCCCTCTCAAACTCCTCCATTGAATCCACTTCCGTGGTGATATTCTTTAGCGACTCATCCACAGAGTCCATCCAGATGACCATCTCTTGGAACTTCTGATGATACTGATCCCACTGAGCCGGAATCTTGTGCAGCATTTTCTTCACGCCCTCAATCTTCTCCGTCATCTGAGACCATCGCCGAATGGCATTCTCCGTGGCCTCGGCAAAGTGTCTCTCCGTAGGACGATTTTTCCCATACGCCAAAGTGATTCTCTTCATATTCTCTAGGCACTTTTCAATCTTCCCAACACTCCCTGTCATCTTGAAGAAGTCCTGATTTCTCCTCAAAATCGCATCGACGTCCTCATTGTTTATCAACGCCTGTTGCTCAAGATTGATCTCCTTCTCCACATCCTTCATCAACTGATTAAAGTTGTTCTCCTCCACACGAAACTCCAGATTAAGCAGATGATAGGGAAATGCTGACAAGACGCTTTTCCACCTCTCCTGCAGGGCTTCAACTCCACTCACAGTCATCTGTTGCTCCTGCGCTGGCAAACACTTGAGCAAATCCTGAGCTGATTGCACCAACTCATTCATCCACCGCTCGTTCAATGTGTCAAAGAAGAGCTTTTGCGTCTCAATGACTTCCTTCACCTCCATCGGCCGCTCACTGAGGAAAACCTCAGCCTGACTGAGCCAGTGAACTATCACACGTTCGTTGTCACGGAAATTTCGCCAGCATCTCACCGCCTCGTTGAGACGATTCTCCCACTGCTGGGCATTGGATGTCACATACTCGAAGCGCTCATTCAACACCTTCATCCGATCCACAGCTTCGCCACAATCGATACTCTTCTCTGTGTTGACAGACTTAAGGACATTCTGGAACACCTTGTTCTTGCTATCCAGCATGGATTTGTAGTAAAGTGTACGCGTGAAGAACATTTTGTGGCGATTGAGTTCACTATTCAGATGATCGCGTCCTCCGGCAAGTGACAATGAACTGAGGAGAGCCTCAGCTTCATTGAGCCACTCATTGATCTCCCTCTGACCACTCTCGAGAGACTCATGCTGCACGAGGAGTTGATGGAAGAGATGAAGGCGAGAAGGAATCATTGCACGGACTCGCACAAGTGCTTCCTTCTCCTTCTTCAGAATACCCATATTCTTGTCCACCTCCTCGCGTGACAGATCTTGGATGAGAGTTTGAAAGACTTTGCTGATGTGTTTGAATAACTCCTCAATATCCTCAATCTCGCCTTGGAGCTTCTGCAAAGCCTCTCCATATTTCTTAATCTCATCTGTAGTGCCCAAAGATTGATTCTGCAACACTTGCTCAGCATATCTCAGCCAATTGCTGAGTCTCTCCAAGCCGTTCCGGTATTCCTGGCGATTCTTCAGTATATCACCAGCATGAACATAATGCTTGGTGGCACCAAAGAGTCTCTCCCAGCGCGATGAGAGATCATTAATTATGGCCTTCAACTCTGTGGATATTTCCTCTTCGCACGAGCCAGCGAGGAAATTTCCTGTATCCACAATTAATTGATACTTCTCACGCCAAACACCAATATCCTGGAAGAACTCCAATCTCTCATCCTCGGACTTCTTCACGTGAGCCTCAGCATCGCTCAACCAAGGGATAAATTCACTGGTAAGCAAATTCCAACGTTTCCAGTAAGCAATCACTTCCTCCAACATATTTTGAGCACAGCGCAATTCCATCGATACTGCAGCCCATCTTGTTTCGGTTTCTTGCATGAATCTCTCAATGTCTTCCACGTCATTCTTCGTGATATTTCCATCCCTCTTGTACTCCTCAACCACTTGTTGCATGTCCACGAAGGCCTTACTGAACTCCTGGAAAATCTTGTTGCGCGACACAAAGTTCGAGTACTGATCCAATAGTTGCTGCACCTTCTCCTGTCGACCGCACTTGGCTGTCCACAGCTTCAATTTGTTGTCCACGAGATTGAGGAAGGCAATAAGACAACACTTGTGCTCCAGGAATTTCAAACGGATGCGTCTCTGCGTGGCCTTCGGTCCAATATCATACAATCTCCTCTCCATCAGGGCAATCTCTTCGGGATTCACTGAAGGGTCCAGCGGGAAGCTCTTTGTCTTCTGAAACACCTCCACAATGTTGGGATATTCGGCGAAAAATTGCTTATGCTCCTCCAATTTGCGACTTATGATAGATGCCGTCTCTTCATTCATTACCGCGGGTATTTCATCATTCATGAGCAGGGTTTCAGCATCACATAGCCATTTGGCAACAATTTTGAAATTACCCGGCAGACGCAAATCCAAACTCCACAACCAATACAACATCTGACGCTCCAATTTACTCCACAGGCTCTCGATCAACTCATGCGCCCCATGAGGCACACCAAGTATGTTCTTCTTCGAGCTGGTCAATGTCAGGAATTTTTTGTACGCCGCTTGACGTGAATTATTCTCACCGTCGGCACTCAAGTAATCACTAAAGTTCTTCGACAGGCGATCTTCCTGAATTAATTGCTCAAATGTATCGGTTCTCTCCTGAAGCCAGCGCATAAATTCATTGTACTCCTGCTGAATTGTCGTCTCATGACCAACAGATTGCTGAAAGGATAAAAGAAGCACTTTTAAACACCCTTCTTTAACCACAATGAACAGTGAAGTGACAATACCTTTCTCGGTTCTGGATATTTGTGCAAGAACTGAGCCACATAGGTCATGATACTCTTCTCATCTGGCTTCTCAACATCAACATCTTCAGCATCCAGAATCCTGGCGATGCCCAGCTTCGCCTCAGCCACGTCAAAGGCTGTATTGAGGCGAGTTCTGTTAGATTCCTTTCTCATTTCAGCAATATTGACAAGATTTGTCTTAATCGAGTCAATCAAAGCCAAGAAGGCAATACCATCTCGCCAACTAGCACCAAAGTCCTTCACTTCTATGCCCGAATCCCTAGAAAATAGAAAATATATTATTAACTATTCAGCTCTTGAACAACAAATTTATTATTTATTTAAAAAAAAATCGTTAAAACCAATTCATTTTGTGCCCTATTCATAGAGTATTTTCTAAAAATAAATCCCCCGTCAAACTTCCACGTTATTTGCATAGGCACGACACGGAAAATTGTTTGATGGCTCAATTTGGCATGATCAAAAATTCATTGTTCAATGTCTCTGTAAAATTCCATTGTGTACTTTCAACTACTATTTTTAATTAATGTACAACAAAAACCCTCAGGTTTTGCAATAATAATCATAACCATCGTGTTGATAAGACAAACCTCTTCAGTCATAAAGACACGATCATTCAAGAGGTGATAATTAATATTTGCCATTTCAGACGGTAAATGGAGTGAGACAGCTTATGGGAAAATAATCTGGAAAACTCACCGCGGCAATGCATTCGTCACCCACTGAAGCAACGTATTGCGGGCACCTTGTCTCCACTTCTCGGCCTTTGCATCAGTCGGGGTTGTTGAAACGCCGGCACTATCCAGTGAACTGAGCGAACCGCCGAGGCCATGTCCTAAATACTCCAAAGCACGACTGTTCTCCTCAATCTGTTGATGCGGGGCGTATACAGAAAGCATACATATTAATATTTCACTCACAGTCGGGATTATGCAACGAGGAAATGCCATCAAGGGCTCAAAAGTGGGCAAAGTTCAAGGATTCCGTGACAACTCCTCCAAAAGCTATATTTAGTTATTGAGGGCAGTGACATTTTGCTGCGCAGCCTTTCACTTCTACGGTGCACCTTTTTCTCCCACATATTTTGTGACAATTTGCAATATTCTGCTACCGTTGCAATATGGTGAAATGGGGAGGGATTTGGTGGGTTTCCTTAAGCTCTAATTCTACCTTAACTCACCACCAATGAGGAAAATTCCACAACATCTACAATTCTCCGCTTTGTACGTAGCTTTGTGTGTTCAGGAGGTAAGCGTGTAGATTACATTGTAATTTCATCAATTCTCTTATCCAATATTGTGTGCTCACTAATCATCAATTCTACAGTGAGACTGTCTCAAGAGGACACTTTACATTGAACTACTGTCAAGCTCATACCACAGCTTTTACTTTCAAGACAATAAAGTACCCAAAAATACCGTACAAACATATGAATATAGGGAATATGGGAAGAGAGATGTTTACCTGGAAATACAGGATGATTGTCCAAATTAATCCAAGGACCACTGGTGGTCTCCCATCCACCAAGTCCGAGGGATTAATGTTGACAAGCTTGATGCGTTTGCTGGCCAGGAACTGCAGAGCCGTGTTGGCGTTACTCAAAAAGTGTGGTCTACGCAGGACGCGTCCCTTCTCCACTGGCAAGCGCTCACCGGAGAGCACTTCCAGCAGAGCCAGGAGTTTTGTGCCATCCTTCAGATCATGAATTAAGTCATCTACACGAAGCGGTGGAACTCGCTGTTTGACACGCAGTGAAAATCGGGGAAACAAGGGAGAGAGAAAAGCCATTAACAAATTTTGTCATAACAACCAAAATAAACGACCGTAAAACGATAAAAACCAATAAATTCTTTTACCTTTGATAAGTATGAATTAATCCAATTTACGAATGTCTTTTTCTGTACTCGTTCTTGTTCGTCTGCAATGAAGAAGAAGAAGAAAAAAAGAGAAGAATAAGTGTTTGCCTTCCTCTCACGTTTGTTAGAGATATCAGAGAAGCCCGCAATACTGCTAGATAGTGGAGAAGATAAAATTTTTGCAATTATACGGGTATATGTACATTTTTCATCCATTTCACTGCGATAAGTAAATCTTCGTTGACCGTGTAATTCATTAGCAGAGAGATGTATACAATTTAATTAGACTGGAGACATAATTCCTCGGTGAATTTTCACAAAGAAACCGACAATGAGTGCAGAAATTGATTACACAACACTCCCGTTGGTGTGCTGCAGAAGAGTTCACAATTTGACCTCCTCCTTCTGCACTCTGTGCAGCCGAACAGTGAACTGACTAAGGATTCCGCACTGTCTCTGCGAATGACTCCGCACACCGCCTACAATTCCGTCGCCTCTGTTTATTCAATAAAAGGATAAATTGTCGCGAGCAAGACACGGTTTTATTGAAAGTGAAAAAAAACGGGGGAGAAAAGCTCTACTATTCTATAACATTTTCCCGATAAACCCCACTGGAAAAGACACACCCAAAGCACGCACTATAACTCGAAATTTGGAACAAATGCCGTATGAATAATTCCTCCACGTTAAATACACTCTCTATAAACTAAACAGAAGGAACTCAATTTTCCAATACCCTCACCGTCACTCATTTCCCTGCCGTAATAAATTCAGAGCCATAACATTTTTGTTGGATCGAATGAAGGGAAAAATTGCCGTAGACTGAAATCACTTCCTCATTTGAATACCGTCACTGGCAACAGGAGAACTTCAACTGTTTCCTCTCGTCAGGATATGCTATGCATCACAACAGAAATGGGAGCCGTTGAGTGTTTACCGGGCTGCCAAGGAAATACACCCGGTCTGGTAATGTCTTCAGACATGCTATTTAGGGTGAAATGAAAGAAATATCTCTAGATAAAAATTAATTCTACAACACAAAAGAGAAATCTTAAAAGATTTTTACGGATGATTTAACACTTCACACATTCCAAAAAGGTGGTCAGAATGTAAATATTATGCAAACATTTCTGCTTAGCAGATTTTTTCCATCATTAATTGAAAAACAAAATGGTATTTAATTTTCTAATAAGGAGTCTCAATTGCTAAAGAGTTGGAATTTGGCTTTGACTTCGCCGAAAAGTTCAAATTTAAGCCTGGATGGATTTTCTGGTCGGTTTGGCTCCCACATTTTGCATAATGTCTGAGGCAAAAGGTGTACTGTGGTATTTATTGTTTGGTCGTTACTCTTTCCAAATTACCACACATATACACAAGAAAATTCCCTAAGGTAATCGCCGACAGAATATTGAGGGCCCCACTCGATACACTCATCCGCAAAGGCGGACTCCACAAACACTTCCCAACAATTTCAGGAATATGCTGAATATGCTAATGCAAATCCAACAGTTTCGCGCATTTATCTGTATTTAATTTTTTTGCCTTTCCCACAGCATGACAAAAAAGTCAAGGCTGTTGAATGACCATTTTTCGGCGGGAGATGAGCAAAAACGCCGTGTTTTTTCCTTGAAATATCGTGAATTTCTCTCTCGCAGAGCCACTAAAAATGCCTTCCATATGGAGTAGAGATTATGTTGTATTCGCCGAAACTTGTTCGCAACATTGTTGGGAACTTGTTTCCTCTTTATAGCCGACGATGATTGTTATAGAATGGGAAACATTTTCCAAATTTATATATGCACACAATCTCAGACAGAATAATTAAATGCCTTTTTATATAATTACCTAACAATGAATAAAGAGTCATAAATTGCTCTAAGGCACGATATAAATCTCACCGCACGTAATGATAATATTATTACTACAAACACTTGACTTGATTCTTATTCTTAAAACCTGATGCATTCATGCCTTATTTGATTCAGATTCTGACATTTTTTCTGTCATTATTATTATGAAAATGACGCGTAATTTTCACCTTATTGACCTTTCTAGCATCTTAAGGATCTCTCTCTCTCTCTCTATGTTGTGCCGACACGAGTTATTCAGAAGCGCTGAAGTTGGAAATAAGTGAACAGCTGACATGATTGGAAAATCAATAATTCTCCGGTGTCTCCACGGCATGAAGTGTGTCCCTCTAGGCATTGCATGAGCCACACAGTGACCGGCAGACTGATATTGATTTTCTTCCAAAAGCACAAGACACACAACTCTCTCGTGTGCACGCATAGTGGCTAGCAATGATGCCGAGAAATGTGAGTCGGTGGACTAAATTTATTGTAATTGAATCCTTGAGTGCATATCATAAATTCACACTCAACTGGTCAATGGAAGGAAAAAAAATAACAAACTCTCCTGAGTTGACCCATTAGCGGAGCAATCAAGAGACTTCAGCGGTTCAAGGTTGAATCAATCAGGCACTTTTACTATCTCCCAGAATACCTAATCTCCATTCGCATGCGCCAGATAATGCTTCCATTCTCACACAATTAATATTCAGAGTTACGCAATGACCGGGAGCGGTTTTCAATCCACTCAAGTCCCCCAAAACACAATACACACGAAAATGCGCCCGAAATCATGTGTGGATACACAACACTCTTCGCACTTTTGTATTCCACTCATTTTGAGTAGCGAACGCCGAAAAAAATATCAAAACAGCTCCACGAAAAGGGGTTAACCATCAATGATCGGAGATTTAATAAGAATTTCAATATAAATTTCTCATAAATAAGTCATGCAAATTCAATAATTCCAACTATTTGCCAACATGCAGACTCAGTCATAAATTCATCCACTTGTTTGAAAGCATTTTATGGAAGCAATGACATTTTAAAACCGACTAGGAATGTTCAGCGAATTTATCAAGCCGAAAAAAACACTCAAGTCAAACAAATTGTTTTCGCGATGTTCATGCAAATCTGAATGCCTAGCGACATATTTGATATATCTACATAGAACGAAACATGTTTAATGTTTGTGGTGTCGCTATTTCAATCACACCTTCCCATTATTTATTTATTTTTTTGATATGTGACAGAATTTTGAAAATTAAACCAGGAAATTAAGAGAAATTCACCATCGATTGGATTTCCTTCAACTTGCAGAAAATTCAATAAATGTAGAAGTGTTGAAAGATTGATGTGAAGAGGAATTTTCAATATTTTACATTGCCATACATCAGACATATTGCAAAATAAACAAATATCAACACCACAAGTCTTAATTGATAACCACCTAATCTATTCTAAGCTCTGCGCTCTTTGAAGTCATGCATCGTAAAATGATAAATCCAAAAATAGAAATCGATAAGTGCAAAAATGTCCAAAGTTAATACATAAGATGTCAATTCCCAAACCGGACTTCTAATGTAATTGAAGCAATATAATGACTAAAGTGAGAATAAGTCTTTTAGCATTTCTCATCCACTGTTTCGCTCCCACACTCAAAACCAACGTGTCTCAAAAATTAATTTCATATTCCATTCTCACAAGAAAAACGCCGCATCCAAGTTCATAAAATGCAAATATGACTGACCCTCTGCAAAGTGACATCACACTCGCGCTCGCGCTATTCACATTGAGTTTGGCCGATGACGACTGTCACCTTCCGTGAGTTCTCACCAAAAAGCGCCAATTGGGGGAGGGATTCGGGAGAATATAGCACATAGAATATAAGTGGAAGGTGGAAAACCGGTTGGCGTGAACCTGAGCTATTTATTTGCATTGACTCCCATTCGTTTGTTCTAAATGATAAAAATTCTATTCACGAGATGCTTATCCCATGATGACCTCATTCACCAGCAAACACACTAACTAATAATGGATGAAGGCTCTTTTTCCAGTTTTCTCTCTCTCTCACTGGCACAGATCGCGCGGATCTGCCGTCTGGGCTGGACTTTGGTTCTGAAGAAAAAGGACATTTGGGAGTGTTTCTCGAAGCTCACCTCGAATCTGCTTGATGTGGGAATCATACTGTGAGATACTCCTCACGATTCCCACTTTGGCTGCACTGGTGGCATGGAATGGATTGTGTCCTGAGCGGAAGCGCCAGGCACCATCATCGGCGCCGTGAGAAATTGGTGAGGCCAGCGATGGTGAGACATTCGATGGGCTGCTGCTGAATGTCTGGGACTTGAATGCCGAATCCTCTCGGCTCCATGACGTGGATGGCGGAGATTCGGGGCTGCGCAGGAATGACGTTTCCGGAATACTGAGTCCAGAGTCCTCCCTCGTGAACTCAATCTGTCGCACAGACTTGCGGAATGTCACCTTCTCCATGTGGAAGACACGCGTCTGACCACCGATTTCACCCTCTTCGTACGTGCGCTCGATGGTCTCCGTCTCCTCCACCGTGGGCTCCTCCTCGTAGCGCTCCACGAGTCGCCGCACCTGCCCAATTTGTCCGTCAACGTCATCCCCAAGACGTCTCCGTCTGCGTCCGCCGCGTCCTGGGCTCTCCCTATCATCAAATTGTCCACTGTGATCCATTTCTCATGTCCACATCTACTCTATTTTAAAAACACTCTCTCCTCCTTCCTCGCGCTACTCAAAGGCACTCAATATTCACAATCGATATAGGAATAGTTGTTCATTTCTCCATTTTCACCGTCAACACGCCCAAAATTTCCGTGCATACGCACAATATGGGCAATTTTACGCAATGAAGAAAAACACCCACGCGTCCCTTCAGAGTCAATTGGGAAAATCCCCCAAGTATGGGTGGATTTTTTATTTGACTTTTCTCACCCAGAACTCTACAAGTCTTTTGCAGCCGTCCAACAATTTCTCACGAAAGCCGGTTCGATACTGAAGAGACGACAGTTCGACGATTTGCCGGAGTGTTTCATGTACAATTCTCCTTTTCGCGGGGCCCCTCAATCAGATGCACCTTCCCCACTTTTGCCTGGTACATTATATACACACAACACTCGTGGCTCCAGTCGCACAACACATCTCCAACGCCACACTATTCGCCGAGGAACATGTGGTTGTCGCGCTGCCTCCAAAAACCCTCTCACTCGATGGCCAAAAATTGCAACATCAACAAACACCAGAGCGCCAAAAAACCACATCTACAACACACATCTTTAAGAAGCCCTCTTATGACACTCTTTGTCTCACTAAACAAATTTTCTGGGACACACACAGAACATCAATGATTGCAAGGAATCTAACAAATAACCAATGCAAAGAACTAATCAACTGACGAATGAACAATATTAACTGCACAGCAATATTATCAATCAACCAAAATTGATGATATACACAACAATTTATCACGCGTGTGTGTCCAAACAAACGTGAGTTGGCTTTTCATCACACTGTGTGAATTAACACTGAAGTGAAAATCCCACTCCGCGGAGTGTGCTCAGTTGTATTCACACTCACTGCGCAATTCTCGCGATTCCCCTCCGAAAACATATCACACACTCAATATATATATTGGAGTACATAAAAATTCTAATTCACTCTCTCACATGCCCGAATATCAACCATAATTCTCTCCCTCTCTCACTCACACCCATTCAACATTCGACGCATAATCACGCGTACACACATTGAGAGAGACACACGAAAATGTGCTCACTGGGCCACAAGGTGTAGCGACTCTAAAGTGCGGCCACATGACATCATATCGCGTCACACGGGCAGAGCGACATTCGTGTTTTGGCCCACCGCTGAAAAATGATAGCGAAAGTGAAATGGGCTTAGGTTTCACCTTCGCAAAAGGTACACAAATCACGTTTTGTAACATTTAACCCTTCGCCCACGCTCGATCAATAAGACTAGCACGCTAATCGCTCAAGAAAATGCAACACCGTGTTGCATACAAACATCAGAATTCAGACATCAAATTGCAATTAACTAAACACCTTTTGGCTGAATGCAAACATAGAAAATTGCTCAGATAATTGTTCATTACGCTGAGTAGATAAATATGCAGAAACTACACTAAATTCCACCTATAATGACTTTATTATGGTGAACCAGGGTAAACAAAAGACTGACGCCAGTCTTTATTGTTCAATTAAACGCTCTACTTTACACATCTACCGATCCGCCAATTTATTTACATTCTGCAACATAATCCATGCGATCACCGCCATTCATATATTGCACTGATCTAATGAGGAAAATGTGCGAAGAACATTTTGCATGACAATAATCATTTGTGGCGTTAGCGCCACTAATCTAAATACTGCACAAAAACTCCGTTTTCAAAGACAAAAACCCGCAAATTGTAAGATATTGGCAAACACATTGCCGTGTTCGACTTTTTGCCATATTTATTGTGCCTCACAAGATGCGAAATTGCGAGGAGAACCTTGAAAGCGTTTAACATTATATAATTAATTGACTTACTAGACACCAATAGAGAGAGAGAGAGAGAAGGAGAGAAAAACAAGAGTCTTGACATATTCTTTGCCAAAGTGATGTCATAAAGGCGCATGGGAATATATAATCTGACGCAGATTTTTCACCCACCGCAACACTTTAACTGCTTTGACTTTATAATTAATTGCTTGAGATTAAGATTGCACACCGTATGGCTAACGACCTGATTACTGATTTGTTGACTGTTTATATTTTCTTCACGTGGGCTTTTCATATGCGGAAGATTTCGATTCAAACCACTTCCCATGCACGATCTCGTCAGGACAGACGTTTTTCCCGAGTCACGGTCAAGATCGCCATACAGAAAATTGCACGAGAAAAGATATCATTTCATAATATTGAGACGATTGAGACGATTGAGACAGTGAAGAAGCCAACATCAGCGTTTCGGAAGGTGATTTAACATCAACACCCACGCGAAATTACTCACATTAAGAGACCACTTTGTTAAACAACGTTAAGTGATCATATGGTGAATTATGTATAATAAAAGTGTTTGAAAAAAGTGTGGAGACAATTGGAATTTATGGCTTGAAAATTCATTGCTGATTTTCTGACCAATGACTGAGTCTTTAGCTCTAAACTATTTCAAAGGCACTTTAATGGATCTCGCGAGTGAGAAAATATTTATACCATTTAGAGTTGGTGGGACGAGCAGTAAAACACCATCTTTAATAGACCATCGCAATTAGTTATTTTATAATGGAGCGTCTGAGCTGCAAATTGACTTTAATTTTATTGAATATTGCAGTATTTTGACTCTCTGCCAACTCCGAAATGCACACCGTCAGCCGCTTCTTGCATCCTCTCAATGAAAGTGAAGTGTCAAAACCAAACACGCATCATTGCATAGTGCAGCAATAACAATTAATAAAGTCTTTTCATGAATTAATTTTAGATTGTATTTTTAGTACAAACACACGTTGTCAAATCTATAAAATTGAACATGAGATTCGCCGTAAATTAAGTGTGACTTTGTCCACTTTTGAAGTGATCGTATAAACTTTAACGATATCGTTCTGATTAAGTGATCTTTCCGAAGGACAGCATAATAATTCAACCTCACTCTATTCATATTTAAATGCTCCGCATCACTGAAGTATCGCATAATTTGTGCGAGAATCACCCCAAGGTGTTGTTTTTTCTCTTCTACAGATTTAATTATATATGCAAATTGTTGCAAAATCAATGGAAGGAAGATTTTAAAATAAAGTGTAAAATATACGAGCAATTTATGCTCACAATCTCCTTTCAAATTAGGCATCATCGCGAAATTGATGATACAATTTCAATTTCTGGCTCCGAGTGGGAATCTCAGAAAGTGGAAGAGTCTAAAAGAGTTACATTGGCGTCTAAAATACAACTGACGAGTCAATTATGTGTTTGAATAAGTAAATTTGGGCAAATTTTTGGGCGGAAGATCTTGTCAAAGCTGCCACTTGTAATTTAACAAATTACAAAGTGACACAGAAAAATTTACAGCTTTTGCATTATGTCATGGAAATAGTTACATTTGGCACTATTTTCTTCAGCAGATTGCCAAATATGTGTCATTTTCTTGGTCATTTTAAATGATACGACAAGAATTATGAGAATTGAGAATTCCTGAAGGCCACGCCCACTCGTATGCTCCGCCCATTTGCATAAAGTACTTCTTACCTTGCAACTGAAGAATCGTAATCTGATATTGGGCCAATTTCTCGTCGATGTAGTCCTGAGACTGATTAGCGATGATCTCGGCCGTTGTGGGGCCCGTGTCCTCTTCGTCGTCATAGATGATGTACGACTGGGGTGTCGGCAGGGTTCCCGGGGGCGGCGGTTCCGCCGCATATTCGTATTCGCGAAAGATTGGTGGCGACATGAATCCATGCGCGGGCGAGGCTTGGCGCAGTGCTGGCCGCTGGAACATCACCGCGGCCGGTGACTGGCGCTCCAGCGGCTGTTGGTACATGGGGGGCACCGAGGGCGGACGCGCCGGGGATGGCTCGTGGTCAGGTCGACGGGGTCGCGGATGCTGCAGGTGCGGCCCACGCGATCCGCGCTGCTCGTGCGATCCGAACATCGGGGACGCCGGGGATCCGCGACCCGTGAAGCGCAGTCCGCCCGGTGACGCCAGAATGGGCGGCGACGGCGCCCATGGCGACGGGGGACGATAGTGAATGGGTGACGGAGAGCCACGGCTCCAGCTCCGCCTCTGCTGCTGATACGGATGCTGGTGTGGCTGATTTGGGTGGTCAGACATGCTGGCTAGTTCTGTCCTGTCCGCAGATCACTGTCCTCACGGCCAATCGATCAGCATCTCCGCCACGCGAGAGGAATCTCACCTACGAGCGCACAGTAACACACAATTATTTATAGTCGGGAGAAAATCGATCATTTGGCCAGTGATCATTGCACTGCATTTCGAGATGTGATTGAGCCGCGTGGAATTCTAAAGACTCTTCCGATTTATCTAGCGGAATATTTATAGACATTTGCGTGATTTTACTCTCTCGCATTAAACATGACTCTCTATATCAATCTCTTCCCGCCTAATTGACCATTTTCATGTAGTTTTCATATATTAAAATGATTTATTCCCATGATCATCGGCTAGAAATATTATCAAATTTCAGCTTCTTTCAATTTCACAGAGTCGTAGTCGCTTCTTGACTCACTCAAATCTCTTCCCAGAAGATCATAAACACAAACACTTCCCACGCCACTGATTTCGCAACGAGTCACAGAGTCAATTTTGCAGATGTGAAGTCAGAAAAAAGGAGAAGCTATTTAGCACTGTGCTAAAATGTATCAGATGGAAAAATGGCCAGACAAATCACTTGTCGAATTGAAATAAGAGCAAATTTCATCGATGATGTCATAGGAAAAAAGTGATCGATTTGAACACCCACATGATGTTTGTGCACAATATTCAAGATCGATGTGATGAAAGGCGGTTTTTAAAATAAAACTGCCCCAATTTACACAAAAGTCTCGTGGACAAAAAGTCCACACACAATAATCTCCTCATAGACATGTTGAACGAAATAAATAGCCCAGTCGATCGTGTCATCGCTTTTTCAGAAATATTCGCGACTCTCAATGTGAATTTGAAGGCATAAAAAATAGACACGCTAAAGTAGAGCGCGATTTTCCTGTGATCTCCTCTTCTCCATCCAAAAATATCTTCCCCAATAATCCCCCTCGCGCGCGGCCGTGTTGCGAGATGCGAAAAGAATCGCCAGAGCATCTCATCTTCATCCCCAACACTTAGGCAAAGGTCATGACACTTTCTCCGCGACTTTGACTCTCGCGGCGCAAATCGAGCGCTGCGCTCCTGAATTGTGTCTGTTTTTTCCGCATTGCTCAGAATAGGCATCATTAGGCCGGGACACAAGGGGCCAATTAATTAAAGTCATACAATTGACGTGCGGACGCGTTTGTCCCCAAACGTTGTGGGCTATTAATACGCGCACCGCCGGAGTGTCCACATATCTGGAGATCAAGAAACCGTGTCCCAGTGCTTCGCAGCTCGCGGGGCCCAGAGAGCCATTCCTTCGCGCGCCAAGTGTGTACTTGATGCGTATTTTTGGCCATAAGTGCGGCACTAGGAGGAGAAAAAAGACCGCCTTGCAGTTATAGAGTTGTTCAGGCGCAAATGATGATCATTCCCGACGACGGAAAATTCACTTTTTAATTAGCACCGAATCACACACAAACACGTCACTCGTCATTTTAAATAGAAATTACTTCAACATCAAATTATTTTTAAACTTTTCTCCCAAAATCATTATTACATAACACCACTTCTTTCAAACTCGTCAAATATAGATTTCTTTATACCCACAAAAAAAATTGTCTCGATATCGTGATACTTGGACTACCAATCATAACTCAACCCGCCAATCTTTATCCTCATCTTCGCAATAAATCACCAAGAATTTTCAACCGTTGAAGAATATCACGGAAAAATGCGTGTTGCTCAATTTCCTCTGCATTAACTTCAAGCAGCACACCTTCTTTTTGACTCTTTCCTCGCACCACAAACTCTTCGACAGGGAATTATTTTCGATTAAAGAAACTAAAGCAAAAAAAATTATATAAAAAAGATTTCCTTCAGAGAGTGAAAAAGCACTGCACCAATCTCGCTTTTCCAATCCTCTGTACTGAACTGATCACTCGCTGAGGATCGTGAAAATGGTATCTTCAACTCTTGACTGTTGCCAAACTCCGCAGAGTCCCGGATATTGTCTGCAAGCGAAATGAGAGAAAATCGGCGGAAGAAAATCAATTTTGTGACTAAAATAACCACAATATGTTCAAAATTGAGCTGATTTTTAATAAAATAATCAGTTTGATAGACAATTAAGGGCTCATTTCCCTGTGAAACAGTATTACAGGACCTCTTGCACAGTTTAACATAGTTTTACGGCTGTTTTTATGCAGATTTTACTTGAAAAATGTCATTTATAGATCATTCTCATTTTCAGCGATGAGAATTTTTCACATAGAATTTAATAAAGAAGAGAAATGCAAAATAGCTGAAAACGTTTCACGCATTTATTGATTCAAATACTTCCACAATTGCTTGCCAATGGAGATTCCTGCCGTACGCAAGACATCTCTGCCTAAGCTGAGCACTTTCTTGCGCCGTCGCGACGCGACGATCGTCGGCATCGCGAAAATTCTAAAGTGTGTGGATGCCGAGTGTCAAAAATAGAGTTTGTACAAACCCAAGCAAGAGATGATCGGTCTTCCTTTCTCTCGCAACATCTCTGCAACAGTTTTCTCCTTTGCCATCCTCTCCGCGCGCCACATGAAGAAGAGTCAGTGAAATTGCTATATATTGTTTGGGCCGCACGCACAGCATATATATAAATATTTAAAGAATAGTGCGACAGGCGAAATATTTCACACTGTCGAGAGCACGATGACCCCCTCCCTCTCTCGAGGGCGTCGGCACAGATTTTGTGAATGAATGCACTGGCAGAGCGCCTCTACAGCAACCCCCACCGCATGTCAATTCATAATTCACAAGCTAATTTTAAACAATCGCACTAGTTGACGCTCTCGCGGCCGTCAGAAATAGCTCATGATGGGCAAAAATAAAGAGAATTTCAGCTCTAATGATAAAACATGATGAATTTACCTTGCACTTCAATTCAATGCGTCACATTTATACATCGCGTTCTCTCTTTCTCTTCTCGCTAGACAAAGGCCTTGCACAGCGCCACTGTGTGATCCACTCCGCAGCTGATCTTCAGCACTTTGGCACCCAGAGCCGTCTTGAAGGGGAAGAACATGTCCTTTGTGTTGCCCAAGCCCAGACATCCGTGCTTATTCACGCCCCACATGAACAGATCCCCGTCCGAGTTGATTGCGCCCATGTGGCTGATGCCACTGCTGATGCTCGTCACCACGCTGCTCCTGTTGAAGTCATTCCGCCCGAACAGCGCAGCCGGGATCTGCCTGGGCGTCAGCACACAATCCGCCTGAGGTCCGAATCCCAGTATTCCATAGCCCCAAGCGAACACATCGCCGTGCTCTGCGAATAAAAGATCCCATTTATATCTCAGCAAAGAGAAGAAAAGGAGAAAAAAAACAAAGCAAATTGAAAAGAGTGAAATCATTCCACAGGATGTCATAAGCTATTTTCTCCAATGGCCACAACTATAACGTACATTTGCAGAATGCTATTTTCACTCGATGCCTCACAAATTATCTCATTAATGTCTATTTCAACAATTTATAGAATCCCACACAGCGTCAATCTCAATTTCTTGCCTTCGGACACGCTTTTGCGGCATGTTTTTCAGATGAATTCTTGAATTTTTGCTCGCAAAAGCAATGTCAACGAATTAATTAATGAATCTGCTGAGCACAGAAGTGTGATTGATGATCTTTACTCACCATTTAACGCCAGGCAGTGTGATCCTCCTGCAGCGACGTCCGTGATCTTCCCCAATCCCGCCAGTGTTGGCAGTTTGATTGGAGTGTGGATTTGCTGGACACTTCCTATCGCGCTACTCAGCTGTCCGTACTCCGTGTTGCCCCAGCCAAAGACTTCTCCTCTGTCATTGAGTGCCAGAACGCAGTCTGCCGCACAGGCCAGCTTCACGATCCGCTCCCCGGCGATGTCGCCCAGCGCCTGTCGGATCGCTCCGGATGTCTCATAAGTGCCACTTCCCGTCTGTCCATCAGCAGCCCAGCCGCACGAGAACACCTTGCCCGACTTCGTGAGCAGCATCGTGTGATCCTGGCCACAGTAAACGCCGCAAACATGCTCATCTGGCACACGAAATCTGTGGATTATGTGACTCTTCACGTAATCCTCCTCCTCGATAATCTCCCTGCCCAACTGGCCGTAAGCGTTGTTCCCCATGGAAAACACTTCCCCGTCCTCCGACAGCAGAATCGCGTGCGCCCTTCCAGCCGCTATTGACACTATCTTCAGCTTCTCATCCTCACTCTTCTTGGGCAGCTCTATTGGAGCCGGATAGATCATCAAATGCATGGGACGATTTGTCGCGCCGCCGTGCTTGTGAAATCCAATCTGACAATCGGTGTTGATGCCTGAGCCAAACACCTGCACGCCCTTGACGTCCTTCGTGAGGAACAGGGAGAATCCATAGCCACAGGTCACGTCCAGGACGTCGTGTGAGGAGGCGAAACTCTGTCGTGTGGGATTCTGCACATAAGACCCCAAATATCCTTTGTGCTTCCACAAGGCTGTGTGCACACCTAACGCCCCGGTCTCTGAGTAGCCCCAGACAAACACCCGGCGCTCCTTTGGTCCAGACACCCGGTATTTATCAACTGAAATTGATAAAGACAAAAAACAACATGAGACGATATTTCATCACAATTTAGGGTTATGCCTTACTCGGTACTTTTTCTTCGTCCTGCAGCAGGACACTTTTGCGAATCCTGCGCGACTTTGTGCTGAAACCTCTGCTGCATATCCTTAGCACGAGTTTACTCATATTCCTGGTGATTTTCTATGGTTTTTCAGCGAAAACCGCAACACCGGCAACACAAACTGAACCTGACCAGCTGATTCTGCAGGGTTGTCCAAATCCCACAGCATTTCCTGTAAGAACGCTGTCAGTCCGCCTAACCCTCAAATCGAGATGATTCGGGTGTGTTTTGGTTTTGATTTTTACCATTTTTTGCAGAAATCTCCTAATTTTCCTATTGATTTGCAGTCAATGGTGCTTCCTCGACTCCTTCGGCGTGTTTTGCTACAAAATACACCATCGTGCAGGCGGTACAGCAAGCATGATCCCATATATTTGGACGTGAGTGAAACCCAGTCACATTCTCAATGGGACAAATATGCATTTCGGGCTTGTCTTGCAGCTCCTGAAGTCAAAATACCCCCAATATGAGGCAGTGAACTTCCGACTCACGGGATACGACTACTCTGTGCTGGAGAGCTACCAGAAGTTCGTCCACAACACGGCAGAATACATGGGATTCAATGTGGAGGATTCCTGGGCAGTGCCGCCGAAGAAGCTCAAAGTGCAGCGCTTCAAGCCTCAGAGCACGGTGGTTGACAGTGAATACAGCCTCTGTGTGTTCGAGAGAATTGTGCACATCGAGGATCTGGACGCCCCGACGTATCCTACGCTGCTGCGAGTCCTGCAAGCCGCCTTGCCGGAAGGCGTGACGCTGGAGGTGCTCGAGCACTCGGATGAACAGGAGGAGATCAAGTACGTGCCAGACACTGAACTGCTCCAGCTCAAGGCCCAATTGGAGGACATGAGAAAGCCGAAGAAGTAGAAGTAAAAGAATATAATATAGTGTCATTAAAAATACAACATCAAAAATCATTTTAAATAATTCTCTCTCTTTCTCTCTCTCGTCTTAAAGCTTTGTGGAGATTTTCACTCTTCACGTGGAATTGGACGGATTTGTTAATTTTGTACTCTCTCAAAAAGTGTCTCCAGAAATTGTATAAGAAGAATATTGGACGGAAGATTGTTTTTTTTTGCCTCACACCACGCCAAAATGCACCACTTTGATGGTCGAGCTGGAATTGCGCGGATTTACCTCATTGTCAGCATCGGGATTTACATCTGGAAGAGGAACATTCACTGGTCAGGCGTCTGACATCTTGCAGCGATGCGCTCATCAACTCACCAGACATTGGAGTGAAGTCCTTCAGATACTCATCGTTGGGATGACACAGCGGCAAGCTGTCGGCCAATTCTTTCTGCGGATCAGTTATTTGACTCCATCCATTGGCTCTCTTGGACCTGTCACTAGGAACTGATGGCTTCTCCTTCCTCGGAATCTCCTGTGCAGCAAAAGAATCACAATTACTTTACATGAAGATGCGATTCGATCAATTTCACTCACCGGAACAACAGCAACTGTGATCGTATCGGAGAATTTCACCTTATTCTTCTCTCCAGACTCCTTCTTGGCACTCTGACCAGCGCCAGACGCCACCAGGTTGGCCTGTGTCCTCCCCGAAGGTGATGTCAGTGCCAGAATCGATGCAGTGTCCTTCGTATTCCTCAAGTACGATGAATTTCCACTCGTGGACGGATTTATTATTGCACTGTTCTCCAATTGATGCGCCTTCGACGAACTGTTGGACGACACAGCGGGAATATTGCCCGAAATCAGCGGATACTGATGAATCACCGTCGGCACTGCCACAGTGTTGATCGACTGCAGACTATCGGCTCTCGGGACACTCACTGTACTCCTTCCGTACAGCGAAACGCTGGGAAAAGAGTGCTTCACATGGTGGAAGCTCGGCGGATTGTAGGTCAACGGAATGCCCAGCGTCTGATCAATTGCACTTGTAGATCGTGGCATTTGAGCAGTGGACGGCTTGGGAATCACATCGATCACCATGTGCTCATTGGGAAAGACTGATCGAGGCAAGGCAATCGGTGGCTTTGCATTTCCACCTTTTCCCTGATGATTGCCAAAATTGAAAGCATCGTGAAAGCGATCAATGTAGTCGGTGGAGAAACTGTTGTGACCCAAATTCGGTCGCCATCCTCCCATTCTGTCATCCAGGAGATTCTGCTGACTCCCACCCACATGAGACTTCTTCCCACCACCGCCTTTCGCCATCGGCAGCGGTGGATCTGTGAGGAAAATGTCCTCATGAGAGTTGTACAGAGTCTTGACATTGTGCCCACCAAAAGCTGTGCTGGCTCGAGAGATTTTCAGTTCTGGCTTTGGAATAGTGATCCTGAACGACTTGTCCGGCAGCGTATTTGCCGTGTATGGCAGAGGTGGAATGTAGGACGTCTTGGACGTCGACACAGTGGGCAGCGGTGGATGTTCTAAGTAGGAAGACGCCGAAGAGGCTGTCGAAGTCACAGAAGCCGCATTGATTCCCTGACGCTTGTTCGGAACACTCGGTCCCAAGAGATTATCGCTCTCAGTCGCACACGACGAGCACTCAACAACATCCGGCGGCTTCTGGACACCCTCAGTCGTGAGATCCTCACTGGAGGACGCCGAATTGTCCGTGCAGAGTGAGCAGGAAGAGTGAGAACACGTGGAATCTGCAAAAAGAACAATTCTTATCATAATATTCCCACTCAAAAGACACTCCCAACAATCTCAAGTCACTTACGACTGCTTCCGCGACTGTTGGCATTATTGATGATCTCCTCAGCCTTCTTCAGCGCATCCTCAGCCAGACTTCCATCCCCATTCGCCACGGCGGCATTGTGGAGATCCATAAACAAGTCCTCATCGTTGATATCAATGCCCAAACTGAAGGCCTTCTCGAATGATCTGTACCTCAAGAGATACTGGAAGAACTTCCTCGTGATGTCCTTCACTTGATCGCCAAACTCCAATTCAGTCTCCTCGCACAGCGGCTTCACCGGCACATGGAAGCTGCCCAGCGCCTTCTGCAGCTGCAACTCCCGGTCGGCCGTCAGCGGGTGGCGGAAGATGAAGTTGGCAATCTTGTGTAGAGAACACAAGCACATGGCGCCATAAGTGTCCCAATTGAGGCACAGCAGAATGTTGATCGCCTTCTCCACCTGATTCACACTCAAGTAACTGTGCACGAAGACATCCGGCGTGAAACCGGACGTGTGAATGTCTCCTGGAAAGATAGAGATGAAGATAAATTATTATTGTTTCCAACATTCCCATGTTAAACATCTAAATCGCTAGGATTAGTCAAATTAGAGTATAAATTTAGCACTTTTACTGTTAAATTCCACTTGTAATGCAGCACGATCCTAACTGACAACGGCAAGGATGAGATTCCAAAATCTTTGTTGATTTAATCGGATCGAAAACGAGAGATAACTTTTCTCCGTGAAATTGGATCTCTCAACGCCTAATTAAGAGTCTTTTCAGTTGTCTTTTTCCTTCAAATTCCACACGCTTCACATTGTTGTACTTGAAATGTCTTGAAAATCGCTGGAAAATAGCTCAAGAATTGCTTTGCGGTGGCATCATTAAGAAAAACCAACTTGTGAATCATCAATAAAAGCATCTCTTTGACATCATGCAGAAAAATCTATAACAATTTCTCATTGATTTTCCCAAGATCATCAGCTTCAAATGCAAAATTATCCCCTTGAATTGAGGCATTAAAAAATACTTTTACTGATCAACAGAGTGGAGAAAGAGCGCGCAGACACACTCTCTCGAAGTGTGAATAAACAAGTGTTTGGGTGATTAATTGCCTCTGCCACATGGAGTGTTTTTTTGGGTGTGAAAAGTGGGTCTCTCGCCTTTCTCACCTTTCATTCCGGCGCCGCCGAAGAAGCGCATGCACCCCACGGGGCCACCCTCGAAGATCAGCAGCAGAAAGCTGTCCGTCTGGCTGAACTTCTCCGCGTGGCCCTGCAGATCGGGCTTCCTGCTCCAGCAGATCCTGGACAGCGTGGGCTGACTGCTGAAGTAGTTGGACACGTCGAGAATGTTGGACGGCGTGTAGTCTTCGCTGATCAATTGGCTCTTTATGCAGGACAGCGAGATGTCGAAACACTGAAACTGACACCTCTCATTCGCTATGACAACGAGCCCGGAGTCGCCGTGCCATGAGATCATCGTGGCGATCTGTGACGAGAGAGAGAATGCTAATTAGCCAGGAGTGGAGATCATTAGTGGAGCGAAGCACTTACGAAAGCCGCTTTGACCAGATGCGTAATGCCTCGGCCCTCGTCGAACAGCACAATCGACCCGTCAATGCAGCCCAGCATCAGCTTCTCGTGATCCGGACTGTAGGAGTGGCAGCAGACCTGCGTCTGCAGCGGAATCGACGTTACGGCGATGCGATTGAGCTTCACCTTGTTGATCTCATAGATCGAGCTCTCGATCGTCACCTCGCCCTTCCGCGACACCCTCTGCTCCACCGTGCGCAGCTGATTGTCGCTCAGGCGCACGAACTCGATGCAGATTGGATCGTTCTCTGTCCAGTGGAAGCACAGCGGCTCCAGCTTGGCGCGGCTGAACTTGTAGATGTGGATGTTGGCGCGATCCTGGTCGCGCACAGTGGGCCGCCAGGGATAGACCTCGTTCTGCGACGAGCGCGTCCAGATGGCCACCAGATCGCCGCTCACATTGCACGAGATCTGACGTGGCAGCTTCCTGCCCTGCGGCCCGCCAATGATGATGTTGAAGATCTTCGGCTCCATGCGACTGATCTTCTCCGGCACGGAGCGCCGCAGGCTGGGCTTCTGCAGGTAGACGAACGTGATCTGGTTCTGGTTGTAGGCGATCAGAATGTGCAGGCGCGTCATCAGCACGTCTGTGATGGCCTCGGAGATGATCTTGCCGAGGAAGTACTTGTCGAAGGCCACTCTCATCACCTCACCCGTGAAAATGTTGACACACACGTGAACAATGAGACCATTCGATAGCATCAGACGCAGCACGACGTTGTCCTTCCACTGGCAGTAGATCACCTTGTGCTTCTCCAGCAGCTCCTCCAGCTTCCTGATGCCGCTGCGCAGCTTCGGCGCCCCCTTGTCCACCGCGTGTCGAATGTCCCTGCGCTGCCCGTACAGGCGCTTCCCCGCGGCGTACAGCCCCTCATCCGCGAGCTCCTTCTTCTGGTGGTATCTGTAGCACCCGAAGTCCGTCTCCTTGATCTTGATGTCCTCGCGACACGACCACAGGCGCGTCTCGCTCAGCAGCGTCAGCATGGCTCACTTGCACTCGGGTTGCAGCACTACTTTGCAGCAAATATTTACTAATTGCCCCCTCAACTCGTCATTTTTCACCTTTTTTCTTGCTCTGCTGTCAACGCAACTAAAATGTTGTCAACATTCCAATGCACTTGCAGTGCTCACGGCCGAAGCGCTGCGATCACTTTAGCGATCGCGGAGTAAAAGTTTTTTTCGCCATTTTCCCCCCCAATAAATGTGCATTTTCCTGTTTTCTATACAGAAATACACTTTTATTACTATTTTACACCCTTCAAGATCGTCTATCACTCATGCAGCGGAAAAATACAGTATTCTCGAGTATGTCCATTTTCCCGCCATACCCTAATAATTTGTAATTAATCCTCCAGAGGGCGAGCAAGCAACAGAGGTGCAATTCACGATCCTTCGGGTTGCCAGATGGCGGTGAAAAATACAGATGACAGCGAATTGTTTTGTTTCGGCGTGGCGAGCAAATTTAATGAGTTTTTACTGGAATTTATAGACAATTTCACTTGATGTGGACGCGTTGTGAATAAAAACGAAAAACATACAATCATGAGCCTGTCAGTTTCTGGAGAAATCGGTAAAATTAATGAATATTCTCGCATGTAAAATGTTTGCCAATGTTCTCAAAATAATTCCCTTTAGTTGAACTCGAGGATGAATCAAGGGAAAAGCAGGAGGAACTGGAAGCATTGGAGAATGACACTTGTTGCCGCCTGTGCTTGCATAACACGCAAGCGGAAATGTATCCCTTTCAGGACATGACGTACAACAATATTCCGTTCTGCAATTTATTCTTCCAGATCGTCGGAATCACTTTCACCGACTATCCGGAAATGTCAGCAAATATTTGCATTTATTGCGCAAATCATTTGACAGAGGCGTTCAAGTTCCGCGAGAAGTGTCTGAGAACCGAGGAGAAATTGAAGGATTTGTTGAAGAAAGAGGAAGTCAAGGAAGCTTCTATTGAATTCATACCAACGCAGGGAATTCAGGAACGTCTGGAATTAGTGAAAAAGGAAATGAATGAGGCTGTTGAAGGAAAATCAGTTGAATTCCCCGAATTGCCTATCGATTTCACAGGCGAGTCGACAGCGAAAGACAGGGAGAAATCGAAGAAGATTGTTTACAAGTTCTCCAGAAGTGAGTTGAAGAAGTTGGAATTGAAGAAAATCCAATGCAGCAAATGCGAAGAAAAATTCAAAGGCATCGAGCTGTTCAAGAAGCACGCCTGCAATGCCAAGAGCCGAAAGAGTCAAGAAAAGTCTGCCCAAAAGAAAGATCGAGATAAAAGAAAAATCGAGATTGAGCTAAAGACACTCATTCCTCCTAAGGAAGTGTTTCCTTGTGCAGAATGCGGACACAAAGCCTCAAGTCGACAAGCCTACGTGAAGCACATGAACAGAAAGCACTGGGACATTAAGCCTGATTGCTCTACTCGCCCCGTTTATGGTTGCCATCTCTGTGGCAAGAAGTTCGATTCGCAATATCACATACAAAAACACGTTTACAAAATTCACCTTAAGAAACATCCCATTGAATGTGCGGTCTGCGAAAAGGGCTTCTACACCAGAAACGGCCTCACGAGGCACATGGATGCTTATCATTTGAACCTGACTTTTCAGTGCGACGTGTGTGGAAAGACGTTCAAATCCAATGCTCGATTGAGCGATCATGTGAAAACTCACAGTGGAAAAAAGACATGCGAACTTTGCGGAAAGACATTGACGAGCATTCTCGGGCTGGCGCAACACATGAAGGTTCACAGGGAGAAGGAATACATGTGTCCGGTGTGCTTGAAGGAATTCGCACACAATTTCGCCATGAGGACACACGTGAAGAAATTTCATCCCGACGACGAGCATTTGCTGCCGCCCAAAGGAACAATCATCAATCGGGGATTTTTGAAGAAAGTGAAAGAACGAGAACAGCTGCCGTAGAAATCGAAATAAAACTTTGCAATAAATCTTAGAGATGCACCTTAAAATAATCTTAAAAACACTTTATCTAGACAATTATTACTCTTCCGAATCTTTTTCAATCTCAGTCTTCGTTTTCATGGCAATCTTTTGGATGATCCTCAAAGGAAAACAAGAGAATCACGGATACCGTAAGACGGATATTTGTTAGGATTGCCAGCGTTGAGAGATTGTGTTGCCAGCACTGCCTTCTTGAGATGCTGCGATGTGAGTGAATCGAGAGATGTAAGTAACAATAGAAAGTCCTGCAAATAGAACTGTAATTGTTGTCACGGCTTTTCCTTCGCAGCTCACAAGACATGGAAGAGTGGACAGTTTGTCGTTTATGTCTAAAATCCAGTTCGGATGCGATGAAATCCATTCCGGATCTGACTTACAACATGATCCCATTCTTCAACATCTACTTTGAGCTCATCGGCGTGACTTTCACGGATTATGCGGCATTTCCTGGCAGAATTTGCCATCTCTGTGAGAAGAATATGATCATGGCATACAAATTTCGAGAAAAGTGTTTGGAAACTGAAGAGAAACTCAAGGAATTTCTCTGTGAAGGATCAGAAATATCCAGTACAGAGTTTATCGTCACACTTGCGGCCTCAAAAGAGGACATCAGCAAGGATTTACAAGACACATCTGCAAATCAATTGGCAGAGATAAAGACAGAAGAGGAATCTGCAGTGGCGGAAGCCTCTGATGGTCAGGAGTTTGTGGTGGAAGAAACAGAAGCGGAAGAGCAGCATTTGCAAGTTATCGAATGCAAGTATTGCAAGAAACTATTCAAGAATATCAAGATGTTCGGAAAGCACGTCTGTCGCCTGTCAGACATGCTCCAGAAGAGCAGGAAACAGAAGTCAACGCCTGCCAGGAAGATCTACGAATGCACAAAATGCCAGCAAACCTACAATTGCCGGAGTGCTTGGATGATTCACATGGATAGGCACAATAATTTCCTCCGGTACGCTTGCGATCAGTGCGACAAGAAGTTCTCAAATTGGCTCCAGAGGCGAAATCACGTCTACAGAGTGCATCTGAAGAGGAAATTCTGCGAATGCTCTCACTGTGGCAAGGGATTCTACAAGAAGCACGACTTGACGGTCCACATGAATGCCGTTCACCTGAAAACGGCGGCTTTTCAGTGTGACACCTGCGGGAAAACCTACCATCATCCCAAGAACTTCCGCAATCACGTGAAGAGCCACAATCCGGCGACGGTGAAGTGCAGTGTGTGCGGGAAAGTGCTGAAGAATGAGAAGACTCTGGTGCAGCACTCAAGAGTGCACAGCGCCAAGAAGAACTACGTCTGTCCGGTGTGCAGTGAAGCCTTCACGTGGAATGCCACGCTCAAGTCGCACGTGAGGCGGCTTCATCCGGACAAAGTGCACCTCCTGCCGCCTGACGGAACCATCGTCAATAGGACTTTCCTGAGAAAACTCGCAGAAGAAAGTGAATAAAGTTTCGGGAATGATCACAATAGCTGTTGAGAGTTTCTTCTTCTTATTCTTTATTTGACGTCTTCTAATAGAAGGTATCGCCATCTACATTATTATTAGTACATTATTATTATAACTACTTATAACTTATAACTTATAACTTATTCTTATATTTCTCTACTTAAACCTATCTTATCAATAAATTTCAATGTTTTCAGTACTTCATCCTCGTCGTCATCCAGTAAATTTTCTATTTTGTCCTTTAATTTCATCTCTCCTCTTATACTACGGAACCTTATGCAATCTATTAATATATGTTGAACACTTAAATCTACGTCACAGCATTTTGTTGGGTATGTTTTGGTGAATATTGAATTATGTGTAATACCAGTATGACCAATCCTAAGTCTAGTTAAAATAGTCTCTTCTTTCCTATTGCTTCTATTTACAGTTGTGTATTTGTTTACATTAGTTTTGATCTTAAACATCTTGTTATTTTCTAGATTACTCCATAATACGTTCCATCTATCTTTTAGTTTACTTTTAACAACATTTCTTACGTCTAAATAAGGCACTTTATATTCAGTGTTAAGATCATTAGCTTCTTTGGCTGCTTTGTCAGCCATTTCATTGCCTTCAACCCCTATATGGCCCGGGACCCAACAAATTGTTATGTTATAGTCTTGCTCTCTTATAATGGTATTGGATGTTTCAACTATATTTTTGATAACTCGACTCTGTTTTATATTTATGTTATTGATTGCTTTTATTGTACTGAGGGAATCCGAGAAAATTACTATGTTTTTATTGTCTTGGTCGTCTACTTGTATGTATTTTAGAGCTTCTAATATTGCAACTGCTTCTGCAGTGAATATTGAGCATTCTTTATGGATTTGGAAAGATATTTCAATGTTAGAAAGAATAACTGAAAGCCCAGTGTGGTCTATAGTTTTAGAACCGTCTGTGAAAATTTGTTTGTGATTATTGTATTGCAGAATTTTTTGGTCTACGTCCTTTTTTGTTATTTGAGGTTTTTTAGATTTACTTAATGCTAAGTCTATATTTATTTTATTTTGTGTTTGTGGGTTCCAGTCGTAGCTATTATTGACTTCTAAGGGTGGTGTTTGTATATTAAGTTCATCTAGTATATCACGGAATATTTTTGCTATTGGGCTCAATGTATTGAGGTTGGACATATCTAAGGCACTATTGTATAAATCGAAGAGGGGATGATCACTATTTGTTGCCACTTTTAAACCATAGTTTAGGGTGTATTTCTTGTATATCAAGTTTAAAGGTAATTGTCCTGCTTCTACTAGTAAGTATTCAATTCGACTAGTTCTATGTGCCCCTGTTACTAGTCTGATACTACTATGATAAGAGCTTTTAAGTTTTTTAAAGAAATTATTGTTGAGACTGCCGTACGCCACTATGCCATAAGTTAAGGTACTGAGGATTAATGCATTATGCATCATCATTAAAGTTTTCCTATATATACCCCATTTTTTCCTTGCAACACATTTGATAATATCTAGTCTTTTGGAGCATTTTGTCTTAATTAATCTTGTATTAGCTTCCCATTTAAGTTTACTGTCAAAAATTATTCCTAAAAATTTGTAACTCTCAACACATTCTATAGTATTTCCATAGAGATTGAGTTGAATATTATTGTGCGGTTTTCTGAGTTTGCAGAAGTGGATCATTTTAGTTTTGTCAGAATTGAAGTTAAGGCCATATTTTTTATTCCACTGTTCTAAGTTTTCTATTGTCATTGAGAGTGTGTTTTGAATTTTATTATTGTCATGATCTGCAAAATATACTACTAAATCGTCTGCGTACATTAATGATTGAACTTCCTGGGGGATATTTTCAAAGATCGAGTTAATGTAAATGAGGAATAATGTGACCGAGATTACGGAACCTTGTGGTATACCATTTTTAATTTCGTATAGATTTGATAAATTGTTTCCATTATAGACTTGAATTTTTCGATCGGAAAGAAATTTGCTTATGAAGTTCAACATTTTCCCTTTGATTCCAATTTTTATAAGTTCTCTTAAGATTCCAGTCTTCCAAACTTGATCATATGCCTTGCTTATATCAAAAAATATGGCATAGAGATGTTTTTTATTTTTGAATGCAACGTGGATATCATTAGTCAATTGAATTAAATTATCATTAGTAGTTCTGCCTCGTCTAAAGCCTGCTTGAAATTGAGATAAAATTTTGTTTTCTTCTAGGTAGAAAATTAGTCGCTTATTTATAATTCTTTCGAGAATTTTAGATAGGCAAGAAGTTCTTGAAATGGGTCGGTAATTGGATGGATCTGAGTTACATTTACCAGGCTTACAAATTGGCTTAACCCAAGCAGTTTTCCAAGATTCTGGGAAATACGCTCCATCATATATTTCATTATATGTTTGAAGTAGAATATCCAGACCCTTTTCACTTAGATTTTTAATAAAGGCATAATGAATTTCGTCTGGTCCCGGAGAGGATCCTGATACTTCCTTGATGACATTCTTCAGTTCTTGTATGGTGATTTCCTGGTTATATGTTATATTGAGATCATTATTTGTTTGATGAGGAAGTGTGAAATTATTTTCTATCAGAGTTTTGGTAAGTTTAAACTCACTATTGTAGTAATTGTCAGAAGAATTCAGGGAGAAAGTTTGGGCAAAAATATTGGCTATTTCTTTAGAGTTGTCAATTATGTTACCATTGATTTTGAGTATTTTAACTTCATTCTGGTTTATTTTTCTATTAAATATATTGATTTTATTCCAGATTTCTTTCAAACTAGTTTCGCTATTAATTGTGGATATGTACTTGTCAAAATTATCCCTCCTGGAGCTTCGTAACAATTTTTGGATTTCTGCTTTGAGTTCTTTGTATTCTGCTAAGGTGGTCGAATTTTGTGTTCTCCTAAATGATCTATAAAGTCTTTTCCTTGTTTTTATTTTCATACGAAGTTCTTTAGTAAACCATGGTAGCGGCTTCTTAATTGATGGTTTGGATTTAGGACAGTTATTATTGGCAATATTGATTAGTTGGGTGCAAAATTGTTGATATGTATTTTCAAAGGAATCTTGGTCAATATTCATAAGGTAGGAGTCTGTGTAAAATTTTTCCCAATTGCACTTATCAAGTTTCCAATTAGGGAGTTTGGAGTCGGCATTCTGGAGGAAATTGAAATTTAATAAAAGAGGTATGTGATCACTACTAAGAGGTTCTTCGTAAGTTTGAAAATTTATAAGGTTTGCTAACGAAGCTGAACAGAGAGCAATATCTATGCAAGATGTTTTCCCGTTGTGCCATATATGGGTTGGTTCGCCATTATTCAATACTACTAAATCATGGTCGTATATTAATTTTTCTAATTTATCGCCTCGACTATCAGAAGTTTGATCACCCCAGATAGGATTTTTGGCGTTAAAATCTCCTACTATTAAAAATGGTTGAGGAAGTCTTAATATAAGACCCTCCAGACTTTTGATAATTTCTCTATTATATTGAGGTGGTAAATAAATTGTACATAGATAAAAGGTTGTAGGACTGTTGAGCTTAATAACAATGGCTTGCAAAGGGCAATTGGTATTAATTAGTTCATATTCAAATTCTTCTTTAACAGCTATAAGGACGCCTCCACTGCTTATATTTCCATCATAATAATTCTTGTGTTCGATATTGTAATTTTTGAGAATAGGATAATTAAAATCATTTAATCTAGTTTCTTGAATACAAATAAAATTTGGTTCGAGTTCATTGATAAGTATTTTTAAATCTTCATAGTGTTTATAAAATCCATTTATATTCCAATTAAGGAGATTGTATTGCTTTACTTTATTTCCGAAAACTAACATTGTCCCTGTTTGGGTCAATGTTTTGTAAATCGGACAAAGGTTCATCTTCTGACATGCTTTCATCTTCATTATTTGAGCTGGGTAAGACCCACTGGTTATTATCTTGTTGAGTATTATTGGTATTATTTACTGTTCTTGTGTTGTTTTTTGGTTTTTTGTAGATTCGTTGAGTTTGTTCGTCTGATGATGACGTTGTGTGTTGTCTTTTTTCTCTCATTTCTTTCACAAGGCTGGCCAGTGTTGTGGCTGCTTCCACTGTGTCTTTCTCTTCTTGTTCAGTTTGCTGTGGTTTTGATTGGGGAGCTTGTTTTCTGGTGAATCTGGAGGTAGATGGAGCATGAATGTTGTTCTCAGTGTTTACCTCACAATTTCCGGTGTTTTCAGCTGTTTCTTCTGATGATCCTTCGGTGATTTCCTGATTAATGTTCCTCTTGAAGCCTTTGATGGTGAAGTTTCTTCTTCCTCTTCTTCGGGGTGGTCTGTTTCGCTTCCTCTGATTCAGTGCGTTGAGTTCTGGGTTCTCCTCGTCCTGGTCAAGTCCATCAAACATATTTTGCGCTAAGATGTTGGCATAGGATCTTGCATCACTTTTTTGGTGATTTTTCGCTCGATATGCTTCTCCTCTGGACATGTTTTTCTCTCTCATTATTTGGTTTATTTCTTTGATTGAGATTCTTTCTGGGCACTCTGGGTCCGTCGCTGCATGCTCATTGGTATCATTGTTCCAGCAATTGACGCATTTTTTGCTGTTCTCACAGGGCTCTTTATGGTCTCTCAATTCTCCACATTGGGCACAAATTGCTGTTCCCTCTTTGCATTGTCTTTCATGATGATTAAATCTCAGGCACTTCATGCACTGCAGAATCCTCCGGTTTTGATAGTTCACGTATCGCTTAGCAGATTCGCACACGATTTCTCGGGGAAGGATAGTACCATGAAACAGAACTTTGATTCTCTCAGTCTTAACAAAAGCTTCAAGTCCCTTCTCGCCATCTTTACGCGTAATTCTGATCACTTTTTTCACCTTGATATCACTTCCATTCACAGTCAGAATCTTGTCTTTCAGTTCCTCCTCAGTAAGTTCAGTGGAAACCCCATTGATAATTCCCAGTGATGCCACGTAGTACGTGGGAATAAAGCTCTTGAATCCAAAGCGCTTTAACTTTTCTTCTTTCACACAGGAATTGGCGCCTGTCATCGTTTTGAAATAAGCAACGACATTGTTTCTGCTTATTTTCGCAACTTCTTCAATTTCTCCAGCCGGAAAGATTTTGTTGAGTGCTATCCCAACGTCCATATCGTTTATTTTGTCATTTATGTTTCTCACTGCATTGTCTTTGGCAATCACCACTCGAAAAGAGTCACCATAATAGCGTCCATCCAAGTAAAAGTTCGGTTCGCGCACAAAAGGTCTTTCTGCAGTCCCGCCAGGACCCCCAGGGTCCTGGGGGCGACTGCCCCCAGGATCAGACATCACTACTTGAGTATTGTAGAGTCTTTGTTACTTCTCAGAGGAATTTCACAATGTTATGGTTTTATGGCCCTTTGTGTGATGTCAGGGCACGTATATTTTCACAGTTTTTCCTGATTTTATGTAATTTATCAATCACTATCCACCACAGATAAGTCACAGCACCCGCTGGGGGTGTTTTTAAGATGGTTTTTGTAAAAATCACACCAGTATTTATGCAGAAATAAGATTTATTCGCGGGAGTAGATCTTTCTGCATCGGAGTGTCAAACAGAAGAGCTGTTGAGAGTTTGATAAACAATTCGAATGCTTGTGTTTTGGGTTGCCATATCGAAACGTCATTTGGGAAAACAAAAACATCAGCAAAAGGACCCAAATTGCTCGGAAAATACGGAAAATTTGTGAGTTTTCCGCAGTTTTCGAAGTAAATAGACCGCAGACTAGCTATTTTCTCTGCAAATTTAATTTCCACAGAAGCTGTCATGGAAGGGTGGTCAGTGTGTCGACTTTGCTTGCAATCCCGCGAGGAGATTCTCAAATCCTTCTCAGAAGCGACCTACAAAATGATCCCCTTCTTGAACATCTACTTTGAACTGGTGGGAATAACGCCGCATGAGTACTCCTCCTTTCCGGCACTCCTCTGTGTCGCCTGTGAAACAGAAATGGTGCGAGCGTATCAATTCCGTGAGATGTGCATCGAAACGGAGGACAAATTGAAGAGCATGCTGAATGATGAAGCCGAGGACACGAAAGCCATAGAATTTGTGGTTGAAGACCTGGAAAATGGGCAGAAACTCACTGTTATTGCCAGTGATATGTCACAGAAAATGTGTAAAAAATGGAAAGACTTCCAGAAGAAGTTTCCGCCTGAGAGAGTGAAACAGCTAGAAAAGAAAACCATACAATGCAAGCGATGTGATTGTTTTTACAAGGGTCTGGATCTGTTTAAGGTTCACAAGTGTTTCGAGGAGTCCCAGGAGGACTTTCTCACTGAAGAACTTGTGTCGGAAATCAAAATCGAGCCGGAAACTTGTGCCCCGGTTGTGGAGAATGTGGTAATCAAGCCTGTCAAGAGGAAATACAGGACGAAAGAGGAAAGAACACAGAGTAAAACAGTAAATAAGAGGATATACAAATGCGACCTTTGCCAGATGACATTCAAACACATTCAAACTTATAATCGACACAAGGATAGGCATGAGAATTTCCATCGATATCCGTGCAAGTATTGCGATAAGAAATTCGACGCTTGGACTCCGAGAAGGACTCACATCTACCGGAAGCACCTCAAGACGTTCTTCTGTTTCTGTGATCAGTGCGGAAAGGGTTTCTACACCAAATACGCGCTGCGAGTGCACATCCAGAAGGATCATCTGAAGGTGAAGTTTCAGTGCGAGGTTTGCGGCAAGACGCTGGTGAGCAAAGGATCCCTGCTGGAGCACAGAAGCATACACAATTCGAAGAAGTTGAGTTGCAAAATTTGCGGGAAGCAGCTCAACACGCGCACCACGCTGAATCAGCACGTGAAGACGCATTCCGGCGAGAAGAACTACATTTGTCCTGTGTGTTCGCGCGGATTTACCTGCAATCATTCCCTGAAGGTTCACGTGCGCAAGCTGCATCCGGACGATGTGCACCTCTTGCCACCGGATGGAACAATCAATAATCAGAAATTCTTGAAAATGCTCGCTGAAAAGGATGAATAAAAAACGGCGCCTGTTTATCGTGAATCTGGAATTTTTCAACTCTGCATCCAGATTTGTGGTATTGCCCGATGCGAAGTGTCATTTCATAACCTCACATTTTGCTAGGAGTCCATTGTTTAGCTTTTTCCCCCCTATTTGGTGTGAATTTCCACAAAAAGTGAGCATTTCCCGGAGTTTTTCCACAGTCAACTCGTGCACTAAAGTCAGATGGGTAATTTGCAGGTGTTTGCAGCATGGAGGAGTGGACAGTGTGTCGCCTCTGCTTGGAGTCCTCAGAACACGCCCTCAAGTCCTTCCCGGACGAGATGTTCGAGTCGATCCCCTTCTACAACATCTACTTCGAGATCGTGGGCATCACACTAGTGGACTATGACACATTCCCCAACAAAATATGCCTGGCGTGCGAGGATGAGCTGATCCGGGCGTACAAGTTTCGGCAGAAGTGTCTGGAGACGGAGGAGAAGCTGAGGGAGCTGCCGGAGAGGGGCTTGCGTGATGAGAAGATAGAGTTTGTGACGCCTGTTGAGCAGGCGTCGGGCTCTATTGAGTATCTGGAGGATGCCAGGGGTCCGGAGAGTTCGTTCATGAGCAAATTCATACATGTGAAGCGGGAACGGGGATCTGACGCCTTCCCTGCCGCCCAGAACAGCGCTCAGGCGGCGCGGAAAGACGATGCCGGCGAGAAGATCAGGTGCAAGCAGTGCAGGATCATCTTCGTGGGCCTCGTGGCGTTTTACGAGCACAAGTGCTACGACATCGCCAAGGTTGAGACGCCGGCTGTTGGGCGGGCGGCGGAGGGCGAGGAGGCGCCCAAAGCGGAACAGCGACGCCTGTTCAAGTGCAATGAGTGCGGGCAGACGTTCAAGATGCGCTCCAGCATCCTGAGTCACATCGAGAAGCACAACAAGTCGAAGAAGTATCAGTGCCAGTACTGCAAGAGGCGCTTCTATAAGGCGTCCATCCGGAAGGCGCACATCTACCGGTTCCACCTGAAGCGCACGCTCGAGTTCAAGTGCCCGCAGTGCCCCAATGAGTACAGCAAGAGCAGCCAGCTGAAGGCGCACATCAAGGAGGCGCACAAGGAGGACACGACGTTCCAGTGTGATCGGTGCGGAAAGAACTTCAAGAGCTGCTCCATCCTCACCAGCCACATGAAGATCCACTCGGACAAGGTGTCGTGCGCGCAGTGCGGCAAGGAGCTGAAGAACCTGCGCACCCTCGAGCGCCACATGGAGATCCACTCTGGGCAGAAGAACTACATTTGTCCGGTGTGTCAGCGCAGCTTCACGTGCAATTTTTCTGTGAAGAATCACGTGAGGAAGATCCACCCGGACGATGTGCACCTCCTGCCGCCGGACGGCACGGTGGTGAATAGGCGATACCTCGACCGCATGGCGGCCAGTCACCGGAAGAGGGAGATGAAGCCAGAGGAGGAGCCGCAGCAGAGCGATCCGTGCACCAGCGAGGCCATCAATTCCATCATGCACAATTAAGTGCGGCGCGGGCTTTTGTCTGAGCCACGCGAGTGGAATCTCATCCGGACGCCGCAATGTCCCCCAGTTTTAGGTGGTTTTATTTTAAAAATATAATTTAAGCGAAAGAGAGAGAGATCCCACAGAAAAGACTAAAGTAATTGACGATTTTTGTGGCATTTTAGACTTTAGTTAAAATAAACACTAAGACGCATTTCTAGAGATGAAATTCCCGGCATATTCTCGACCAATTTCACACACGAGCAGAGCTCAAGGCACCAACACAAGAGCGCGCGCGGTGTGACGTCGAAAGGGGCAGAAAGTCGCCGAAAGATTCTGCTCGCCTGGCACGAGTGGAGTACAAATTGATGCAATAGTAGTCAGTCACCATTTTGTTGGAATGTGTGACCGACGGGAGGCAGGCCAGCTATTGGCCATTTTCGAAATTGACTCGCTCAGCTACTCGAAAATCCCTCGGATTGGAGCTGCTCACAAATAATTCCACAAAACATCCCCGGATCCCATAATATTGGCCGCCGGCGTGACCAGATCTGCTCACCTTCTTCGGCACGGCCGCGCAAATTCGTGGGTTTCGGTGAAATTTTGCCGTTGATTTGAAAAGCACTTCCGCCACCAGTGCTGGAAAGTGCCAACTTGTCCCCGGATATTTTGAGCATCTATCCCCGAGTTCCGTTGAGATGGATAGACCAATTTTGTGACTCGTCACCAGGAGGGCAGGAATTGGGTGGGTTTCCACATGCGCGAACACAGGGTGAGACTCACGCATTGCACTGGAGATCTGAACCGAAGTGAATTTGACGGCGGCGCCGCAATTTGCATAAAGTGGCGGCGGTTGGACATTTTCAGCGGTGGCGGAGAATTAACAATTAATTTCGGCATAGAATTATTTGTGAATAAATAAAGTTTACACGCCTGAAGTGTTTCGCAATGGAAATGATTTTCTTCTATGAAATTAAGAAAGTATTTTCGTGTGTTTTCCTAATATAAAAGACAGCTTGTGTTTCTACAGAGTGAAGAAAATGTTTTAAGTATTCAGTGGATGGAAATTGTTTCCATATCAGATGAATGTTTGCTGATATCCTCATCGTTTGCGGCTTCTTTCACAGACATGGGAAAAAGGTCCTGTATATTAGGTGAATTCAATACCTTGTATATAAGGCATTCGTCAATTATGTTCCTTAAAATATTTACATTTATCTTCTCGTTAAGTGTTTTATTGAATATTTTTCCAAGTCCAGCCTTACTGGCAATTCTCCCGTCTCCGCTAGAATTGACGTGATTGGAGTTGTTTTAGTGTAGCCCATGACTACTCTGAGGGCTTTGTTTTTTAATATTTGTAATTTATTATTTTCAAAGATCTTTTCTTTGTGATTAAATATTACTGGTGCTGCGTAATTTATTCTCGATTTTATTAGTGATTTATATACACCATTAATAGTGTCGATGGATGAGGCCCTTCATGGCTTCTGCTAAATATTTTTCATAAGTTTACATACTCGTGAAGATTCGGCCGGTATCTTTCAATTGGTGAAATTAATGGAGATGGCCTTTTAGTGCGGATTTCCTTTATTTAAACTCCATTACGTCTCGGGGATTCGATGACCCCTTCCTCAGGTATCGAAAAATTTGGAATGCGCTTGTCCAACAAACAATTCCTCTGCACCTTCTTGTACAACCGATCACTCTCACCGATTCCTTCCACATCACTTCATTGACTCCGGAAATCCGCACTAAAAGGTCGTCTCCGACAATTTCCCCAGTTCACATACTTTTCACATTGTATTTTAATTTCTTTTTTATGAATAATGCGAATAATGAATGTTAGATATTTATCAACATGTACTCCTAGTATTTTATGACTTTTTACTTCTTCTATTTTTGATTCGTTTATGATTATGTCTCTTTTATAGTTTCGTGATGTATCAAATTGTATAAATTTACATTTTTCTGGATTAATATCTAGTTTTAGCTTTGTTATATCTATATATTATTTATATTATCTATTTATATTATATCTAGTTTGAGGCAATCTTGATTTAGCCGATTGGTGGAAGGAGACGTGGGGATTACATCCCTGGACATTCTGGCGGCCAATTGCACTACAATTCATATTTTCACCCTTTGCACACAAAATTGACACTTAGAACTAAATTAAGCGCGAAATGCAAGTCACAATGAAAAATAATATGAGCAAAACAACGTCCGAATTTTTCGCTAAAACCTAACCTCAAATAAACTTTGACGCCTTATTTACGAGAACCCCAAGCAAGCCACAACAATACATACTCCTTGGGTAACAAATAGCAATTGAATCTCAATGCAAAGTAGAATGAAAACAAAACAGAATGTCATCCCAATCGGCGCCGCCAATGAGAGCAACCGCGGATGGTGATTCGGCTCAGATCTCTCATTTGTTCCCACTTGCATTGTGCGCGACACACCCTGTGCCGCGGGATTTATCCTGAGTGAGAAGAGCGCGCGAATTGCTTTTGGGATTTGGGGTGTGTTTTTGTGAATTCAAAAATTGAAAAATGAAGAGCAATTGCCAGCGATGAAAATTTCGACGAGCAAGATTTCAAATGAAGTCTTTGGCAACTGGGAAGCCATAAGTCCCCTTCCGACATCCCCGGAGAGAGCCCAGCTAATTGGTGAAATGCTCTCACCTCGCCCGCGTGCGCTTTTCCGGAGGGAAAAGCGGTGCTGGGAAAGTGCTGTGGTCGGATTCATTGCCGCCGGATAATTAAGCGAGCTGCTCGGGAGTATTAATTAGTACTTCCCCATCGTGTGGCGCTAAAATTTTTAATTACCAACTTTTTGCCGCACACTCGCGGCGGGCGTCTTGTGCGGCGGGGGGCGGGTGGGCGAAGGAGGTGGACATTTGCGCGAGAGACGCGTTTGGTGGGCAAAAATAACAAGAAAAGAACCTCTGTTGAGCACCAGGTGCTCAAAATGGATTGCTCGTCTTGTGCTGAAGAATGGCAACTGGGTTGAGATCTCTGTTCTGCTTGTACAATTCTTCTTAACTTCTGAGACTGGCCACTCACACCGTCCCGTGGTCAAGAGCAGAATCTGCGCGGCGGCAGCACGCGAAAGTTTGTAGTTTCGCTCAACTTATGGGCTCTTTGTACGGCTGAATTCAAAAATACAATCTCATGCGGTCGCTTTGGATTCAACTCTTTGATTTGGGATCGGGTTCTAAAACACCCTGGCTCTGTAATCCTGGTCACATTTCAAATCTTCCTCATTTTACCTCGAGTACCACCTTTAATTTCAACTTCTTAAATTTGATTCGTGTGATTCATGGGGGATTTAAACTAGCAGACCTGCTTCGTCTGTAAAATGCCTGCATTTCAGCGAATGATTCTAACTTCGCAACTCCATTCTTATTCTTAGTTTTGCATCGAGATTCCAAGGAATTTTCTTTATAAAACTCGCGACACTTGAGTGTTTTCCTGGGAGTTCTTCCCAGAATCACTGACAAATTGTTTTGAAAAATTTATTTTATCAATATTTATGACATAATAATGCATCAAACGGGACCGGAATACGTTTTATTCCACTTTCAGGGCATTTTATAAATTAAAATAGGCTATCAGAACATGTTGGAATGGTATTTAACTCATTTATAATAACTTTTATAAATGGGGCAGCACATCAGTCGCCTCGCTCCCAACCACTCTGCCCATTTATCTTATTACACAGAATTCGGTATTCTGGAAATGCTCGGAATGAGAAATCCGAGAAGAGTCACTCTCCCAACTGGGCGCGCATAAGTAGCACTGGAAGTTTGCATTTCCACGCACAGAATCGAGCACAGAGGGAATTTCAAATACGCTCGTCCGATTAGGATTCAGTGTGAATTCAATGTGAATTCAACGAATGTGAATCACTGTATAGAGTCGAATGTGTATGATTATTTCAGGTGGATGAATGAAATTTGTAGGCTAATAATTGGATTTTGTGTAAGATTTGCGGGAAAGTTTGGGTCTTCCGAAATTTTTGATAATAATATTACGAAGAAGCATCTAAATATGTATTTTTAGTCGCTGATAGTCAATCCTGAAGACAAGGAGCGCAAGAAAGCTTGTAAGTGAGAAGCAAACAAACGAAATGTCTTATTTATAGGAAAACGGATAATAATACAGTATAATACCTTTATTACACCAACTCAGAGAGCTTTTTCTGTTAATTAGAGTGTAGATTGAGTCACAGTTGAGAATCTCTAGCATATTGTCTCGATAGTGAAAGCAATCGAGTGAGATTTCTAGGAAAATCACCTCCAATTGTTTGTTGCCTGCAAAGATCATGAATGTGCCTCACTTGTTGTCTCTCCCAACTGTTATATAACAGTGGATTTCTTCGGATATTCACAGTTGCAATGGAAGATCCTGAGTTTTTCTACTACGCCAAGTTCTTCTTGAGAATCCATGGCTTCTCCTTGGAGACAAACGGCAATAACTTCGCCTACAGATTCTGGGCCATTCTTAACAGCACTCTGCAGGAGATTATGTTGTTCACTCTCATCTACAACACTTACAACAAACATCCGGACATTGCACTGATGGTGTCATGCTCAACAGTTGCATTTGGGGTCTTCGTGAACTCCTTCAAGATTATGTCAATACAGAGGAATATTGAGCGTCTCAGTGATTTCTATCATCGATTGATTGAATTCTGGACTATTCGTGAGTTTCCTTCCACCCGAAATATTCCTCTTGGCTTATGTGAAAATGCCTCTTTGCAGCGGAAAAGCCAGAGAGAAAGATTCTTCTTCAGCACAAGAACTTCACGAATATCGTGTCAGTTGTAAACTGTTTGAGTCTCATTGGGGGCATTTCGTGGTATGATTGAGAGAACATGGAAATTGGTAAATATTCACGGTAAATTCTCCAGGTGGCTGCTTCTGCCTCCGGCCCTTTCGGCCTATGAGGAGTTCACCTTTGGGAACACCACCTGGATTCCGCCCTACAACATCACCTACATAGATTTCATGCAAACGACGCCAGGCTTCGAAATCTGCACCACCGCCTATTACATGATCACTATAATGTGCGTCTTTGGCGGTTGTGGCTTCGATTCTTACTTCCTGGAGAGCTGCTTCTATCTTTCAGGTCACTTCAGGATCATCTACAGAAGATTTCGCAGCGTGAAATACGCAACAGAAGCTAAGGATGACCGGAAATTCCAGTCACAAATCTCTACTATTGTCAACTATCACAATGAGATTCTGAACGCTTGTGCGGATCTTCAGGATATCGTTAGATCAGCCATCTTTCCTTTCCTCCTCTTTGATTCCGTGGTCATTTGCACCTGTGTTTACACTCTTCTCGCGGTATTTCCCTTAGATTGTTGATACTCTCTTAAATCCTACCATGAAAATCATCCTCAGATGCCCAATTTGATCGTCACCATCGCCTTCATGGGCATCACAATAGCAGCCGTGGCCCAAATCTTCGTCCTCACCTACAGCGGACAGGTGCTCATCAACAAAAGTCAGGACTTGACTAACAGCATCTACGATTCTGAGTGGTACATTGCGTCTCCTGGCCAGAGAAGGCTTCTCATCCTCTGTATGATGAGGGCCAGGAAGGGATTCACATTCAAAATGGGTATTTTCCAACTGGCGCTCCCCACATTTTCCGCAATCCTTCAAGGCGCCGGATCGTACATTGCTCTACTGCAAACAGTTTCTACCCGTTGAAGATCTTCAATTGCAAGGAGTTTCTCAGCAATCCTTAACAGCTGATAATGGTTACAAGTGTGCGCAATAAAGTACTTAAACATATGCAAGACGTGGTCTTTTCTTTCATAAGGAACAATGCACTCTTTTTATGTGCCACATATATGAACATGTGCAGTTCCTATAACAGCAGAAATTCGCAAATTTGATGCGAAATTCACGTTATTATGAAAACCACGAGCTTCTAAAAATTAACATTTCTCCAATTAAGTATTCTAAATAGAAATTCATCTAATTTTATCATGCAATTTTGCTGATTGATTCTTCAGTCACTTAAAAAAATAGCTTCATAAAATAATCATTTGTATCCTTGAGAAACTCTATTAAATTTCTCAATTTCTCGAGGAACCATCAATTAAATTCCCTTAATTGCAATATTCTTTAACAAGAGCAGGGTACATGTTGATTATAGCGTGAGAAGTCGTGGAAAGGTGATAATGACTGGTTTGTTTTTTTTTCACCTTTCAAGTCGAGCTTTTTGTAAGCAAATGTGTTTTGTGAGTGTGAATTTCCTGGAAATTTTTCAACAGTGCTCCGCAATTGATAAAACAATCGCGACTTGGACATGATAAGAACTATTTTTGCACACAAAGCGCAAGATGATTACCTAGAAGGGATTCTACACAATTCTTTTGTCATGTTTTTCTTCGACAAAGGATCAGAATTGTCCTCTTCTGCACCATGTAATAAAAAAGGATAAACTTTTGTCTTCTTCATTTCCGTTTGAGTGTTTTCCAAGTGAAGATGGAAGATCCTGAGTTCTTCTACTACGCCAAGTTCTTCTTCAAGCCTCAAGGATATTTCTTGGATGAAAAAGGAAATACGTTTGGGTATAGATTGTGGGCAGGATTCGGCTTTCTCATCCAGGAATTGATGGTGGCTCTCGTGGCCACGAGCAGCTACTACAAATTCCCAGACATTGAGCCAATGGTCACAACTGTGGCCGTCACAATTGGGCTCCTGGTGAACAGTTTCAAGATCGGAACTGTTCACTACAAGATCAATCAGTTTGCCAAGTTCTTCAAGAAGCTGACAAACTTGTGGAACATTCGTGAGTATTTACTCGAGCTTATTGAGCTTTTGAAGAAGATTTTTCATGCAACTTTTAGCTGTTGAGCACGAGAAATCATTCCTCTTGGCCCACAAAAAGTTCACCAACATAATATCTGTAATCAACTTTATTTCCTTATCGATTGGAATTGCTTGGTAAGTCTTCAACGTCCTTTTCTGTGTTTATGAAGTTGTTCAATGAACTCTTCTAGCTGGCTTTTCATGCCAATCGGATTTGGGATCTACGAAACCATCGCAAAGGGTCAGACAACCTGGATTCCCGCTTGGAATGTCACATTCTTGGAAGTTCTCAAGGTTTCTCCGGGCTACGAAACTCTGACTCTCCTCAACTTACTATCCACATCCTTGTGCGTCTTCACAGGATGTGGCTTTGATGCGTACTTCTTGGAAAGTTGTTTCTTCCTCTCCGGACACCTGAAGATAATCCGAGAGAGATTCAGAAGAATCCCTTTTTCTCACAACACCAACAACGACGCTGTTCAACGACAAATAGCCTCAACTGTTGAGTATCACAATAAGATCTTGAGTGCTTGTCAGGAACTCGAGCAAATGGTAAGATCAGCGATTTTTCCCTTTCTCGTCTTCGATTCTATTCTTCTGTGTACAATTTTCTACACGATTTTAATGGTGAGTTGTTGATCTTAACAATTCTTCGACTGCAACATTAAAAAGTTCAATTCACGTTCGTAGATCTCTGGAATAACGTACAGAGTGGCTTTCAGTGGCTTGGCTTGCGCTGCTCTGTCTCAAATAGGACTCTTGACCTACAGTGGAAACTATCTGTCCAGCAGAAGTCAGGATATATTGTTCGGGATCTACGATTCCAATTGGTACGAAGCGTGCGCTAGCCAGAGAAAGCTTATTATTCCATCCATGGTGAGAGCCAAAGACGGAATCATCTTCAAGATGGGCTTCTTTGACCTCACGCTCTTGACATTCTCCTCGGTTAGTCGCAAACCTTAGTTTAATGTGACCAATATAGTGACATAATAAGCTCGAGTTTGTCCCGCCCATTTGATTGTGACGATATTTTAAGCTTTTATTTAGGTCACATGTGGAATACTTGAGTTAATTAACCACGTCTGATATACGCTGTAACTATGACAGATATTGAATAACTTGAAATACATATCTTGTTTACAGATGCTTCAATCAGCTGGATCTTACGTGGCTCTGATAAAGTCCCTCTCAATCCGCGAAGATTAGCCATCTGAGCATCAGATGATAGTATAAAAATATTCTTTATTCATAGACATAATGCCTCCAGCACATAAACACGTATTTACACTCTTCTCTAAGAACTATGTAATAAAATATGTTACTGTTGAAATAAAAATGCACAAAATCTGATACTGTCTCGTATTACTCATCAATATAGAGATAAGCGACTCGGGAAACCACACTTTGACCCTAGAGCGCTAATCCGAACCAAGATCCAGGCGGAGGGACGTTCAGCTCGTCCTTCTTGTTGATGAGCGACACGAGCAGCACCAGGCCCAGGACAACGAGTATGAGGAAGGTGACAATGAGGAAAAGTATCCGCTCGCGGCGAGTCCACTTCACAGAGCACGTCCAATACTGCTCCCTTATCACTCTGGAATGGCACGGGAAATCACATCGAAGGGTCAATGAGTCATGAGCTGATGGTAAACTCACTGGACGGAGGGTGTGCTCTCAGTTCGCATGGTCGTGGCGCTGCCCACGAAGCCAGGATTGACGATTCCCTGCCGAGGAAGACTCCCATGGCCAGCGTGAGTCTGGAAGCTCTTCTCCGGATAGGCACTGTGTCCACCAGCCGTGCTGTACGCCACTTGAGTGACATTTGAGGGTCCCTGCAGAGGTCTCCCTGCCGTTGAAGGATTCAGCAGAACCCTTCCGTCCACCATTCTCGCCACATTTGCGTCTCTCTTTTCCATCAACAGCGTTTTTTTTCCGGGTCTCTTCGCCACTTCTCTTCACAATCACCAGAACTTTTTAGCGCATTTTCCACAAAACTGACTCTGGCTCGAGTGTCTCCGTTCACTTTTTTGCCTTATCACGCACTATCAGTTGCCATTTCTCGAGTGATAACGAATTTTGACGTGCGTCTAATCTTTTTGTCAAAACCCAGGAAAAATATAGAAGATCAGTAAAGCGCACAAATCCACCAAATTCACCCGCAACCGCCCAAGAACTGAGCTTTATCCGGCTGATATTTCACAATCAATACCCCATTGAGGCTCCCTCTTATCATTCGGTGGCCCGAAGAGGCGCAATTGAGACGTAATCTTGGTCGGTTTCTGGGGTGAACACGATAACGTGACGAGGTTTATTCTCGTGATTTCCCGCCGCAAGAACCCGCTTTCCCAAAATATTCCACATTACACCTGCTGACTCTCTCTCGTGATCGCCAATTGACTCTATCGCCGGCAATTAATCGCCAATGAGTGTGATTACCTTGCCAATGTCAACAGTGGGCGATAGTGGAATTTTTTTCCACTCCGCGTCGGGTTTTTCTGTTAACTTCCCGATGAATATTCAAGAGACATCATCAGCCAATAAATTTGGACTAGAACTTGCAAGATCATTAAGAGATTCTAGAAAAAATTTCTTCTTGCTTTTGTCTCGAAAACATCTTGAACGGTAGATTTTTTGCCAGACTTTGGGAATGAATAATTTTGTGGTGTTCCTAATCAGAATTATGTTGAGAATTTTTAAATCAAATGGACTTGAACAGTTGTTCGGTTTTGCTACTCTCCTGAGTTACGTTTCATATTTATTGAAATTGAAGCAGTTGGAAGATTAACACAATGCCTGAGGATCTTTTAATTTAAGAGATTTCATTTGCAGACGAATTTACGCAAATAATTCTTGAATATTTGCATTATTTCATAGAGATTATTTAAAGATTTATTCATTTGATTTTTAAATGTGCATAGAAAAATATTTGCAAATAATTTATTGGGAAATTTTGTATAAAATTCACAGTTAATATTTGCTTTGATCTTAAGATCTCAGCATGCGCAAAGAAGTTTTACAGCACAAGAACATGTTTTCGTATAAAATCAAGCAAATAATTTAACTTTCAACAAATATTGAAAAAAAAAAAAATTAGATCCTTAGAGACATAATTCTAATAATTCACAACATAACAAGTAATAAATGTGTGAATGAGAAAATAGGAGTTGATAAGCAAGGTTCATCGAGTTAGTGAAATACGTATTGATAACATTTTGAACAATTTGAAAACATTCTCAAGTACACACACTTGTCAGCCTCCTAGAGAAATTATTGCCAAGTCTAATATTAGTAGCTTTTTTCTTACCTCCTCAGCACTCACTTCCAGAGATAAGATTCCCATGCATTTCCTCCTTAGCTGCATAAGTGGAAAAAGGCCACAGCGTGAAATCCCCACAAAAGAAGTGCTGGAGAGGCAATTTATACTTCTGAGTCCCAGTGGACAACGTAAAAAGGCCATTTAAGTGGCAGTTGTGCGATAAAGACGGGACTTTATAGACACTGGGGATGAGTTTAATCGGCCATTCGGTGGGTCAAGTCGCTAAAAAGCTGGAAATGTACAAAACAAATCTCTTATCGTGCCCGTGAGAGTCCATCTCTCCGCTCACACTCACTGAGAAACCCGATCCGCTGCTTTGTCAGTCAATTGTGTCAACAAAGCGATTTTATAATTATACAGCTCTGCTGCGGCCGCGGAGCTTCTTCAGTTGTTGCTGATCGCTCCGACTGAGCGGACGGTGATTTTGTGATTCAACTGATCAGTATGAAAGTTCCTTTAGTGCTCCTGTGCCTCACTGCGGTGATCCTCCACTGCGAGGCGCTTCCTCGGCCCAGCAGGCGAGGAAGAATCCTGTCCAGAGGCCGATCACGGACGTCTCAGTGCGGCTACGATGTAGGTTTATCCGAGACAATTCAGCGTCTCGCGGTGATCCTTTGATTTAACGGTTCGTACGCTTTGCAGAGCTGCCCAAAACTCGATCCCTCGAGGATCAACGTCCACATCGTGCCCCACACGCACGACGACGTGGGATGGCTCAAGACTGTGGACCAGTATTACTACGGCAGTCGAACTCTCACGCAGAAGGCTGGCGTGCAGTACATCCTTGATTCTGTGGTGCAAGCTTTGCTCGCCGATCCCGAACGCCGCTTCATTTACGTGGAGTCGGCGTTCTTCTTCAAGTGGTGGCGCGAACAGACGCCCGATCTCCAGAAGAAGGTGAAGCAACTGGTGGAAGAGGGTCGCCTGGAGTTCATTGGGGGCGCTTGGAGCATGAACGACGAGGCTGTTGTCCACTATCAATCCGTCATCGATCAGTTTACGTACGGATTGAGGTAAGATCACTTTTGAACAACTCTCAAAATCAACCGCCTTGCAGTTGAGGTTTCAGTGGATGATAAATTTCAGGGAACGTAAGAAAAATATTCTATCAACTTTCTTAACTAGAGCTAAAGGCTAAATTGAGGCTCTTCTAACGTTCATTGCTCTCAGTTTTACGTTCTTATTTTCCGAGGTAGAAATTTTGTTGGTAGAATATTTTATTGCCGTCTTCTGAATTCCTCATCATCTTTTGATTTGTCACACTTGTACATGTATTAAACTAACTAATTTCAAGCTCATCGTTGAAGCCCAGCTCTCCTGTAAGTTCAGCTTGGTGTGTGTTGGCTTATCAATATGTTTTTCCTGTTCACATGTTTGTCAGTCAAAGGTATATGACCAAAAGTTCCTGTTTTTCGTCTGACTCTCTCAAAATGTTGGAAGATTTATACATGTTTTGGGTTAAACTGAAAACAAGTTCAGTTCATTCAGTTCAAATCTTTTACCCATCAAAACATTGCTTTGAAAGCAAAGAACATCTTCAATTTCAATGAAATCCATAAGACATTAGAAACCTCATTTCCACGGTAATTTGAATTTTGTTAGCTACATTTCCTCTTATCACTTCCATCTGCTGATCACATTAAGAGCTCTGTAAACGCTGCATAAATGCTCTGTGAGCATTTTCATTATTTCTGTGCACGTTCACGTGCCATTTTCCCCGCATTAGCGCATAACGATGACTTCTAATCTTCTCAGGCGACTGAATGACACCTTTGGCAAATGCGCACGTCCGCGCGTCGGTTGGCAGATTGATCCATTTGGCCACACTCGTGAAATGGCATCACTTTTTGCTCAGATGGGCTTCGACGGAATGTTCTTCGGACGCCTGGACTATCAAGGTTAATTGCCGCCAATTGCACTCAATTGATCTCTGATAGCGCTCAAATCTCTCATACTGTATCTCTTGCTCATGCAGACAAGACGCGAAGACTGGAGAAGAGAGAAGCGGAAATGATCTGGAGAGGAAGTGCAAATTTGGGAGAAGCTTCTGATCTCTTCACTGGCGTTTTGTACAACAATTACGGCCCACCGCCTGGCTTTTGCTTCGACATTCTCTGCTCGGACGAGCCAATGATCGATGATCCGCGCAGTCGAGACTACAATATCGACAGGAAGGTAAGATAAGCGCGCAATCCAAGCACACTTTCCGAAGTTTCCACTTTTCTGGCACACTTTTTCCCAGATCCTTAATTGCCCCCACTTTTTTTTGCATATTCAGTTGAGATCCTTCTTCGAATACGCTATGCAACAATCCATGAATTATCGCACCAAAAACATTATCATTACGAGCGGAGGGGATTTCACGTACATGGACGCCAATGTGTACTTTAAGAATCTAGACAAGCTCATCAGGTAACCGAGATTTGAGGCCATTGCATGCCAAAGTAGAAACTTGCAACTGGGAAAGAAGTGTTGAAAAAGTGAAGCTTCGAGAGTGATTTCTTTACAATTCAGACAGTCAATCGATGTTCATTTTATAGCTGAGAGAATTTGCGGTGTATTTGGACAAAATGCGGTTCAGATATAGAACCAAGAACCTCATCCTGACAATGGGTGAAGATTTCAACTATCAAGACGCCAATATGTGGTTCAAGAACCTCGATAAGCTGATTAAGTGAGGCATTTTCAGTACAAATTTTCTAATTTGGCATGCAAACTAACTTCTTTGGCAGCTGAAAATTTCGTATTAACAAACCAAACCTGTCTTCTAGATACGCCAACGAAGCACAGAAGAACGGATCGAACTTCAACTTGGTTTATTCAACTCCAAGTTGCTATCTGAAATCCCTTCATGATGCTCAGATAACTTGGCCAACCAAGACAGATGACTTCATCCCTTATGCTTCTGATCCGCACGCTTTCTGGACTGGTTATTACACGTCGAAACCCGCCTTGAAGCGTCTAGAGAGAATGGGAAACAACTTCCTGCAGACCTGCAAGCAATTGACTGCATTCGCCACGGAGAAAACGGAGAAATCTTTGAAGCCACACTTGGACTACTTAACGGAGGTCATGGGCGTTTTGCAGCATCACGACGCCATCACAGGAACATCGAAGGAGCACGTAACTCAGGACTACACTGTGCAGATTTCCTCAGCCTTGAAGGCCTGTTCCTACTCAGCCAAGATCGTACTCAATCAACTCACGAAGAGACAGACGAACAAGGACAAACCCCAGCAAGCTGATCCCACTGAGCCCGCCAAGGAATCTGCACGGTATCACGATCAAGCGACTGAACCTCAACCCACCTTCACGTTCGACTACGATAGCTGTCTGCTGCTGAACGTTTCCCACTGTGAGATCTCCGAGACCAAGCAGAAGTTCATGGTCACGGTGTACAACGCCTTGGCGCACTCAGTCTTCCACTACGTCAGAGTGCCCGTGGACGGAAACTTTGCCTACGAGGTGACTGACTACAGATCAGTTCCCATTTCTCACCAGATCATCGCTGTGCCAGAGCAAGTCAAGGATTTGCATCCTGTGCAGGGAACGGGATATGAACTGGTGTTCCTGGCCACGGAAATCCCTCCAGTGGGCTACAAATCCTTCTTCATCGTTCGCACTCCAGCGCCGATTGTCTTGAACGTTCCTCGCTTCGATAAGGATCCAGAAGTCTTTCTGCTTCAGCACAAGATGAGCGCCGACGAGCCTCAGAAGCCGCCACGGAACAGCAATGTGGTGTCAATTGGGAACAAATATTTCAGCGTTGGATTTGACGCAAAAGGATTCGTGAGCAGCATTTCCTTGGAAGACGGATCTGAGCACAAACTCAGTCAGAACTTCTTCTACTACGAAGGCGCTGTTGGTGACAATAGGGTGTTTAAGAATCGCAGTTCTGGCGCCTACATCTTCAGGCCGAATAGCACTGAGAGATTCGTGACGAATCAGGTGGACGTGAGAGTGATCAAGGGTCCGGTGGTTGAGGAGGTGCACCAGACCTTCAACGAGTGGGTCAGTCAGGTGGTGAGGGTCTATCGCGATTACAACTACGTGGAGTTCGAGTGGTTGATCAATCCGATCCCAATTGACGATGGCTTCGGAAAGGAAGTGGTTTCGCGCTTCGTGTCCGACATTGAAAGCTCAGGCGCTTTCTTCACCGACTCCAATGGCCGAGAGATGATCCGTCGCGTGAGGAATCACAGGGAGACGTGGAATTTGCTGCTTCAAGAGGAGGTGGCAGGAAACTACTATCCTGTCACCACGAATATTGCCGTTGAGGATCGCGAGAAGAGACTCTCAGTCATGACGGATCGCGCGCAGGGCGGCAGCAGTCTTCAGGATGGGGCAGTTGAGCTGATGGTGCATCGCCGATTGCTTCACGATGACGCCTTCGGCGTGGATGAAGCCCTCAATCACACCCATCCCATCAGAGGAAAACACTTCCTGCTCTTCGGGAAACTGGACAGTGTCCCAACCATGGCCGCTCGCGAGCGCTTCCTTCAGGCCGAGAAGCTCCTCTCGCCGTGGCTCTTCTTCAGCGACGTTTCCTCTTACGAGTACGAAGACTGGCGCAAGACTTACAGCCATCTCTGGTCCGGAGTGGCTCTGTCTCTGCCACAAAACGTTAAACTCCTCACTCTTGAGCCCTGGACTGAGCTCAGCTTCTTGATCCGCTTCGAACACATCCTCGAACAGACGGACGATCCGGAATACTCAAAGAGCGTCACGTTCAACTTCAAGGATGTCTTCGGATCGGTCTTCGACATAAACGGACTCGAGGAAATGACACTGGACGGCAATCAAGTGCTTCAGGAGAATTCCAAGAGTCGCTTCAAGTTCAGGCCCGACAATGTGTCCTTCTTCACGAACGAGATTGTGAAGAGGAAGCGCGAAACCGTGACTGAAGAGCCCCAAGTGAAGGGCGTGACGATTATAGATGAGGGATCACCATCGAATGAGCCGGTCAAGGAGCTTCCGGACGACTCCACAAAGTGGGACATCACTCTAGAGCCCATGCAAATCCGCACTTTCGTCCTTCATGTGAATCCCTCGGTTTACGATAAGTGAAATTGCGCTAATAAAGGCGTTTCTGTTTTCAGTGGGAGTGATTCTTTCTCTTCGATGATCTTTTATTTTTAAATTATATTCTTTTATACAAAATAATAACGTCCAATAAAGAATATCTTCCAACAACTCAAATTATAAATTTCTACATGTCTTTCAGACACTCAATTGTAGTCTTCACAGATTCAAAAAATATGCATAATTTCGCAAATTTCTTCAAAACTAATACGCCTTTTTTTATACAACATTTCCTCCTAAATAATGTCACTGTAATATCTCTAATGCAAATATCTCTGGTCAAAATTAAGTGTTGATGTCCTCTGTCTTGGGGTTTCTAAACTTTCTTAAAGCAAATCCTACCAAAAAAAAAACCATCTGATTGGGCAAATGAGACGTTGAAATCCGTGGTCGTGAACACACTTTAAGAGGGTGAATAGTATTTACAGGAGCATCGTATTGGGATCCTCCAGGTACTGACGGAAGAGCTTCAACCAGTTCGCCCCGATGGCGCCGTCCACGAGTCTGTGATCGCAACTCAGAGTCGCCGACATGACGTCAACTACGCGGAAACTGCAACGGCGCATCATGAATTAATCAATCAACTCAGAAAGAATCTCACAAACTCACCCCTTCTCCGACTCCTCATCCGGAATCAGTCGCTTCTCCGTGGCTCCCGTTGCCAGGATACAAGACTGGGGCGGATTGATTATCGCACAGAATTGTGTTATGCCTGAAAGAGTAAATTTCACTGTAAAAATCTCTCTTATCTCTCTCTCTGTTCATGAATGTGAAAAAGCATTAGATTAAAGCAATATCGCGTGATATTTTAGACATGAAAACCACACTCTTGATAAGCTAATTTAATCCCCAATGCAAACACAGAAAGGGTCACTCAATTCCAATCCTTTCAATTGATATCAATTGTCTTAATTGATTACACACAGAAATCAAATGAAGAAATGTTGCCAAAAATCTATAAGCAATTGCTCAAGAGAACGAGAAAGACTTTAATTTTTGCTGGAAATAGTCAAGGTCATAATAATATTTGTTGATTTGTTATCAACTTTCAATTGACTGATCTATTTTGATAAGAAACTACGCAAACAGTGAATAAAAATCACATTCGTAAGACATCTGACACTGAAAATACGCTATTTTCAGCAGAAATGCCAATTTTTCGGGCTATTAAATCGTTATCAGACAGTTTTCATTGCTCTAAATATGTGTAACTGAAAGGTATGCTGAGCACAAACCATAACATTGGTCTCTTAGCATGACTTGTGAAAGGATAGTCTCTTATCTTAAGGGAAGCAATTGTATTTTTGTGCTATTTTCTGCCCATGCAGAGATTCTAAATTCAGTTCTAATATTTTAAAAAATTCCCACAAATTCCTGGAAAGTCTCAAAACTGAATACAAAAACTTGTAGTCTTGCTGCAAAACCTAATCAGATCAAACCTTGTTTGATAACTCTCTTAGATAAGATTGATAAGTGGTCACGTTTGCCAATCAAGACATTTTCAATCCTATGAAATCAAAGCAAACTCACCGAACATTCCCAAGTTGGAGATTGTTATTGTGCCTCCCTGGAATTCATGAGGCTGTAGCTTTCCGTCTCGCGCCTTGCCCGCCAGTTGCTTCACCTCCTGAGCAATGTCCACGAGTCCTTTCCTGTCCGCGCCGAACACAATGGGCGTGAGGAGGCCCTTGTCCGTCGCCACGGCCACAGCCACGTCCACAGCATCGAATCTGCGAGGAGAGAAGCGATCAGAGAGAGTCCCTAAACTCACAGGCAAAGCGTCTCTTACTGTCTAATCACTGTGTCGAGCCACGCTGAGTTGGCTTCCGGGATCTTCCTGTTCGCCGTGGCGGCCGCCTTGATGATGAAGTCGTTCACCGACAGTTTCACGTTTTGCTTCTCCAGGGACTTGTTCAGCTTCGCCCTCAACTTCAGCACGGCCTCCATGTTGATGTCCACGGTGAGGTAGTAGTGCGGTATGGTGACTTTGGACTCCAGCAGGCGCTTGGCGATCACGCCGCGGATGTTGGACACCGGGATGTCGATGTACGCCTGGCCAGGAGCCGGCCGGGGAGCCGCAGGCGCTGCAGCGGGAGCGGCGCTGAGTCCGGCAAGGTCGGAGACCTTGAAGGACCCGTGAACACCGCTCCCCTGACCCTCGAGCCGCAGCTGCTGCGCCTCAGCCAAGCGCTTGGCCATCGGGGAAGCGTACACGCGCGGTCCCTTCTGCTCTACGGCTGTCATGGGGCGAGGAGGCGCCGGCGTGACCGGGGGAGGAGGTGGCGGCGCCGGAGCAGCTGCTACGGGTGGCGGTGGAGCAGCGGCCTCGGGTGCGGCGGCCTTTGGAGGGGCGGCAGGACCGCCAGTGTCTTTGTAGTCCTTAAATGCCGCCACATCCGCTTCGTTCTCCACGATTATGCACACTAGCTTCCCAATGGGCACGTCCTTGGAGCCAGCAGACACGAGGATCTTGGCCAGGTAGCCCTCCTCGGGCGTCTCGAAGCCCATCGTCGCCTTGTCCGTCTCGATCTCGGCCAGCAAGTCGCCCTCATTCAGCCGATCGCCTTCCTTCTTCTCCCAGCTCACGATCGTGCCCAGTTCCATCGTCGGCGACAGGGCGGGCAGGAGGACCTTTGTGTGGGACGGCAGATCGGCACAGTAGCCCCTCAGCGACTGCATCTGCCACGGCGCCGCTTCCAGTGGCTTCCGGACGCTCCGATTCACAAGTCTGCAAACAACATTGGATCAGCGTGAGAAACAGTGGCTGTCATGGACAGACAATTGATCGGAATCGCTCCTCATCGGCAATAGAGCTTATCATGCGAATAACAACGCAAACATGAATTACATAATTTAACAAATTGATCATCAAACATGATAATTCAAGGGCGCCCGCGGCCATGCGTGTGCCGCTGCCCTGTCTTTGACAGCCGATTACACAACCTTAACCTCTAAACACTTTCTGCCCTTTTTCCCTGGCTTATCGCGCCCAGACCACTTCCTGGACCCTGCCTGGCGCCTCACCTGTGACTCTGGATGCGCCGGAAGCACTCTGTGGAGGCGCACCGGGCAGAATTGAGGCGCAGAGCGCGATTGAGGGAGCTGCGGAGGAGGCTTTCATTTCGGACTGCTATCGTTCGGAGCATTTCACCCTATTCGCCTGAATTCCTATTCGATCCCACTGCTGGACTACTCCTCTGTTGACTGGGCTGGGTATTTGCGGGGTGGGTCCTCTGTTTTGCCACCAAAAACACTATTTTGCAAACTTGCCACCGCGAACGGACGAACTGAGGTCAAAAACTGGCGAATTACTTGTGAACCCCGCAACAACACATCTGCACATGAATTATCCATTGGATTCGTCTGTGACAATTCTTATGGGTCTCCTATGCGTGTTTACTGTAAGAATCACATTGCGAATATATCAAATCGGAATTAATAATAAAGAAATAATAGGTATAAAAGTATTCTCAAGAAAAACATATGTATAATACCAACCAAGAAACAATGTAACAAAATACAATCCTCAGAAAATTGGTTTTCTCATTTTCATGTAAAAATTTAAAACCTTTTCAGGCGCGTAACAGTTTTATCGTGAATACTAAACTGGTTTTAATAGTTCGTATCAAAAAAGCTGTTATATTATGCATTTTTGTGGCAGAATTACTATATAATTACACAAAAAATTATTGGAAACAAAATTTTGGTTCTCATTCGCTTAACACAAACCAAAATCGTGTTACAAGAGAAACACATATTCTGCTGTCTTTAGATCAAGTATTGGAATATTCTCATGAAGCACACACATTTCCTCCACATGAGTTGTTGGGAAGCGCCGGCAATGACATTGATAAAACAAGTGTTTCTCTAGTCCCAATCACAGATGGCGCTCCACCGAAAAGCTTTCTTCAAACACCGAACCGTTGAATGCAAAATATAAAATAGTATTGTAATCTTTGAGGAGGAAATGACCATTCACAGGCTTGCCAACGCGGCACATCTTGGGTGATATATAAATTCCTTTTGGTGCTTTTCGGCAGATGAAAAGGAAGAAGCACGCCATCCATTTATTATGTCGTCTCCCACTAATAGAGATAACACAGCTGAAAATTTATTTATATTGTCTCAAATGTGCTAAGACCTCTCACCTCGCCGAGATGAAGATCAGGCCACCATGGCTGGGTGTCCAATTAATTCTTATCATTAATTTTCAGCTGTGTGTGTCTTATAAATAAACTCGTCGACTTGTCGTTTTGATGGGGATCCAAGTGTGTTTGCCTCCATCTCACCGTGCGCGGTCATAAATCGATGACAAGCAGCTCTAGCACGTCTCGACGGCGGATTTTGGTAGGTAAATTTATTCATTGGTCGACGAGATAATGTGCGAGGGTGGAGCCTCTTGGCTCTGCAGAAATCAATCGCGGTCTCCCCATTCCGATCGCGACTGTGTGGCTCCGCCCCACAGTGACTTCATTGTGAATTCACTACTGTGCATTTCCCACGCTCTGTGAGCGCGGCTCCTCGGCGGAGAAGAATAGCGATCTCACGCTTGCACGATCACTCATCTCAATCCGTATGAACTTCATTTCGGGCCTGTGCATGGAGTGCCCGCGGGCCCCTCTCACAAGACACTACGCGATCTGCAATTTTCATGCGCGGACTCCACACAGAGTGCCAATTTGTACCCATCACGGGGCGAGCAATTTAGTGGGAGTCTCACGCATGTACACGACAACGTGCGGGCGGGAGGTGACGCCGAAAGAAAGCTCCCACAGTGGCCAGAAGTTTGAGTCCAAGATTGATGATCGCACACATCTCAAAATATGATGTGTGTGCCCATCGGCGAAATTGAGAAACTTAATTATTTTCACTTGCCGAGAGGGCAAATGTTTAAATTAAAACATTGTAGGTTTTTCGGCTGATTTATTGGGTCGTTGGACTCGCTGCTCTAGCCGAGGACTAGGAAGTCCTGCGTAAGTGAGGAAGCCGTCTTGACAGTCAGTGCATTCCCGTGTGCGAGAGCAGAGGCGAGGCACTCGGCTTTTTGGCTTCTTGGAGAGAGAGAGATCACTAGCGGTGATCGCGCAGCGCGATCCCCCGCCCTGTGGCTTTGCTGTGCCGCCGAGAGGCGGAGCCAGCAAACGGGGCTCTCCTGGCGCGATCACGTGGGGCGCAGAGGATCACCTGGTGGCCGAGATAGTGGGGCGCGACAGAGAGCGAAAGAGCAAGTGATCGCGCCGGGGCATCCGGCGACGGGGGGCGCCAAAGCCGCTACTGGGGCGCGGATACTGCGGTCTCGCTCTGGCCGATGGGCCACTTCGAATGCCTCCGCACAGTAGATGCCAGCAGTTTCCAGTTCAGCTACTATGCCAGAAAGTCGCCTCTCTGTTGACTTCTGTTGAGACTGCTCGCACTCACACTCGCTCCACGGCACACCAGCCAGCCGGTCGTTCAGTAGTAGCCACCACCTTCCACGCCAGCAAGTAGTACCCAGCTCTCGGTGACTCTCTACTCACTTAGATACGGAAGATCTGTTCAGTTACAGGCAGCAATACGCACGGAAGCGTTCGGAAGTTGAATATCGAGCCTGATATTGGACATCATATTAAGAAATACGACTCCGGTTGCGGATTTTCGCACGCGCCGTCCGACGCGCCTTCACATCGGGATTATCGAGCATTCCGCGCGCCACGATTAGGGCCCGTGATTAGTATTTTTGCGCTGGAAAGCTAGTGAAAAGTGTGCAACCGACGGAAAAAAAGACAGATACTGTGAAGTGTGAGCATTTGGCAAGTGACATCCTCTTCCCGCCTCACCTCAATCAACACTCCCAATCTGAAGGTAAGATTTATTTCATGCAGTTAAATTTTATTATTTTTACACATTGCGCAAGGTTCCATGAGAAAGTCCACACACCATGGACAGTGTGTCTCATCTCTCTCTCTGGCTGGGGAAAAACGTGAGCGTTTCAACACCCAAAACGACCGAGGAAGAGACACAAAGTTGAAAAAGAAGTTGAGAGAGCCCAAAAATAATAAATTGTAAATCACGCGCGCTTTCACAAAACCGCGTAACAGAAAAATTCCCGAGAGACCACAGTGAGTTTCACTCACGTACGCGCCAGAATTTATGAGTCACGGGATTAGGCGCGAGTTTAAGAACAAAACCCGCGCTACCGGTCTTCGCGCCGCCCTTTTCTTCTCCAATCATGAGTGGTGAGAACCCACGCTAAAGACTGGTAGCGCGGCTGGTAATTCCGGCATTTTACTTTATGCCCCGTGATCGCCGTCGAATCGTGTGGCGTTTGGGCATTCACAAATGCGGAGCTACTGTTCTTGTCTTTTGATTGGCGCGTAAAACCGGTGAGCATCCGATCAGCCACGCATCTGCACTACTCATTGGAATGCAAATTGATCCTCGCCGGAGCGGAATTCCGAGAAGAACCTTTTCCAGCACCGAGAAACCTCCGCACCGTCATTTTACGGAAAGTAGTAATCATCGTGTCAAGATAAATCGAACGCTGTTTGCAATCCTCATCACAGTTGGGAATCACTCCGACTGTGTGCGGCATCATTTGACCCCGGCTTGTTATTAGCATTATTGGAAACCTTCCAAAAAATCAACTCACACCGAAGTCAAGAAGAGGCAAGGAAGAGACACGCACTTTTTTCTTCGGGCACTCTGAGAAAAGGACCCTGAGAAGGAAAGTGCAAACAGAGGGTTTCTTTCTGGCAGGTTTCTCGAGGCCCCTTTGAGCGCAGAATATCAATGGCAGCCCGAAATTTATTAGTCTACTTAGGAGAATTTTTGGTTCAAGTTGTTTTGAATGAAATTTGCATCACAAACAAAGACATTTCCAATGGATTAGCTTTTTTACAAACCCAATCGTTTAACAACCGACTAACTGTCTTGTGGATTAGTAGATTCGATCTCTGATCTTCCTAATCTTATTATAGATTTTGTATTCTATAAGATGTTTATAAGCATTTACGATGAAAATATAGACTTTGGTGAAAAAGAAAGACACAAAGAAATTATCAGAAACACGATTACAGATTCAAAACGGTTTCTTTTCTCAAACAAGAGAAAAAAAGGGAATTAAAATCAAGGTTTTCTTAATTAGAAATCAATTGACAATTAATTTCAATCCACGGAAACCCTCCAGTTTGTTTTCTTATTATGTTATTTTGGACAAAGAATATAGAAAAAGCATGAAAGCAAGTGTTTTGCCTTTGAAGTGTCTTTGCTAAATATTAAGAAACCTTGAATTAGCTTAAAATCAGAATGTAACCATTCCAATAACACTTTGAGATGAACTTTTATGTGCTTGTCATGACTAAGAATCTGAATTTTTATTTCTCAAAAAATAATTTAAATTGTCTTAAGAAATACATTTTTATGCATTTCTGGTTGGTGTCTTAAATATCAAGATTTCAAGATCCTGATATATTTGTTTTATTAAAATACTTTTGCCATAGATATTGAAATCCAATTTCCAAAATCACTGTCAAAGTTTAAAAAAGCTTCCATCTGTGATTTTAACTAGTTTATGACGTCAAACTTACGTGAAATCATCCGAGAAAACATTTTAACGTAAATCGTAACGTTCTCAGCATTTCGTATTCAACTTCCGATGAACAATAAATAAGAAAAGTAATAAATTCTGCCAAATCAATGTCATTTAGCACGTCTATAAATCTTGTCAATTTCCTTTTTCTAAGTCGCCGTGGAAAACGTCTTGCGACCAGGAAGAAGTGTGCGCTCATCTCTTTTGGCCTATTGTCGAAAGGCCACAAAGAGAATTAATTGGATTCATCCCACGACTCAATTTATTCGTCATTCTCGTTAACCAGAGGAATAATGACGAATTCAGACGCTCGGTGTCCATTTAGGAAATTTATCTGCAATTAATTATGCCCCAAAAGAGACCTCCTAAAATGGTAGCCCTCGAAAATGCTGCGCGCGGCTCAGTAAAAAGCTCGGGCGAAAGCTTATCAATAAATTAATTGATTCCTAATAAACGGGAGGATGTGACTTTCTTGATTTCCCGCTGGAGAGCAAATGGAAATTTATGGGTGAAGCTCTTGATTTCTCATGTTACAACCCACGACTTTTGGGGTTTCCAGTTAGTTGATCAGTGTCGAATGTTAATAAACATTTTTTCAATATTAATTTCATATTCCCCGAGATTCAATCGCCGCGCCACGGCGTTGTTTTCGGTGGGAGCTTCTTGGCGGAGTTAACCAGAAGACAAACAAACCTTTAGATGTTTGCCTCCTCGATGGCGTATTTTAATGAGGCGATCCTCTGTGGTGACACTGGCCCGAGAGTGTGTCTGATTTATGGGGAATCCTTTCCGTATTCCGCCGGCCATTTAAATCCAATATATTTCCATTAAATCATAAAATAGCCTTCCAGCGGCGCGCTGGGCAAAAGAGACATTTTAATTAATTTTATGCAAATTCGCTCCTCAACTCCCAACGTCTCTCTCCATTGCATGACCCAAATTTCCGGATCATTGCCGTCGCCGAGGGGGAACAGTTGGGGTCTCAGGAGGAGCGCGCCTGGCGTAATGCTCGCTTAAATATTGACTCAAGTCCGTCTAATGACTCAATCTGCCGCCGTCGCATTGAATCGCACCGGGCCAAGATCTATGACGGTCGAGCAACTCCAGGCATCGCGCAATAACCATAAAAGCCGTCAAAGATAGCGGAGAGTCTCTCTTATCGCACACAGACGCAATTGCCATTGACAATTATCAACTAATTTCCTCCGCAACGCGCTCTCCTTCCAGCTCATTGGCCGCCCCGGAGCAGTTCCACGGCCGCAACGTCGCTGCGACTCCGTCCAGAGCCTCCTGACCGTCCAGTCCAGCCAACCGTCAACATGTTCGCGGTCATGCGAATTGATAACGACGACTGTCGGTCGGACTTTCGCCGCAAGATGCGGCCGAAGTGTGAGTTCATCTGCAAGTACTGCCAGAGGCGCTTCACCAAGCCCTACAACCTCATGATCCACGAGCGCACCCACAAGAGCCCGGAGGTCACCTTCTCCTGTGAAGTCTGCGGCAAGTACTTCAAGCGACAGGACAACCTGCGCCAACACAGGTAACGCACCGCCGCCCATCCTGGCCGCTCCCGAGCCGCCCTATCAGCGTTCCGTGACGATCTGGGACTGTTTGCATGACTAGAGCTCTTGGGCACTTGCTAACACCTTTTTAAATCACACGCACAATGGCGACAGACATTTGGCACGGCACTAATTTGATAACAAGTACTAAATTTCCATTCACGAAACGCTGATAGAAGTGACTCCTGAGCCATGACAGCTGAAGAGAAGTTCTCTGAAGTCTTGGCGATTGCCAATGCACTCGGAGAAAATTGGCTGAATTTCCACAAAAATGTGAAATCTTCAAATCAAATTTACACAGATTTTTCGTAATTGTTTCAATTCTTTGAGCGCAAAATACAGAATGCTAGTTTTCTCTGAGTGCAGAAGACGCGAAGCAAGAAGCCCAGCAATTTGAGCAATCTCACTGATAGTGCTGATAATTGTTTAATAGGCTCTCCTCGTTTAGCCTCACTTCTTCGGAAATTGCTGTGCGTCTTTCGAATTCCCCATTCTCGGCGGAAGGGAGAGAAAATTCCCCGCGTATCAGTTGAGAATTACCACACTTTTTGTCTTGTCTGCTGATTAATTTGTTGATTTTACCTATCGACGTGTCTCAAGTTCCGCTTTTAGACGCGAAGAATTCCATGGGAAAGAGAAGAGAAAGAGCATTTTGGGTGAGTGGGAGTCGAGAAGAGGCTCATCAAGAGCTGATAAGGGGAATCTTTGGCAGCAATTTGCCGAGCAAATTCAAGCAGTTGCTTTAACAGAAAATACTTGTGGCGTGTAATGAGGTGGAGGACAAACTGTTGCACATGATATTAAAGTGATTTCCATAGAATTACCCGGCAATTTGACATTTCAATACAATAAAAAACAAACTTGAGCAAATATTGACACGCGGACTGAAGTTGGGTGAGAGAGGAAGGGAAAAAAAGTGGTACAGAAATATTTCCCCATGGAGTTGTTGGGCAAATAAATATGTTTTCTTGGTTTCGGTGAGGAGAGAGAGAAAAAGAAATCATAAAGAGAAAAAATTCCCTTATCAGTTCCTCGCATATTCTTTTTTTTTGACACTCATTCACCGTCTCTGTTTGGGGAGTGGGCAAATAACTATGCGTTTGTCGGTATGGCATTTTATTGACAGCATCATAATCCGAAAGAGCGAGATTTCCAGGGAAAGAAGAGCCTTTCCTCTATTCTATCAACCGCCTTGATAAGATACTTTTGAGGGCGCTTCAGGTAGATTTGATCTTTTGCATTTCGATGGCATTTCTGGGCGCGTTTTTTGAGCGAAATTGAGCGGTCTTTTTTGCCACTTTCACCCACTGAGAAGCGGAAATTTTCTTTCGCGTGCAGTCATAAATAGTCAGTTAATTATTTAATTAGAAATTAGAGTTTCCACTGTGGTTATTTATGGCCAAAGTCAGGCCTCCGAAAGACTGCGTGTTTCCCATTTCCCTGCCTAATTAGCTTTGATCTTTCGACAGAGAGTCGATCATAACAGAAATTAACACAAATCACGGCGCCCACCCAAATAGACGGCGATAGTTTCAGGGACAGTATTGAGCAGAAAATGAAAAATCAATAACATATGGAAGAAGCATTACTTAATCAACCCAGAGTGACATAACATGCAATTAAAATCACGTATTAATCTACTTAATTCTTAACCTAAGGGCAAATTGCAAAATGCCAGTCGCTACAGTGGCACTTGTGGACACATTACTTTGTGAATATATTAATAATATTTAATTTTAATGTGACAAATTAATATGTTGATGGATTATGGAACTTTCTTCTTCTCTTGTTTGTAGATGTAGTCAATGTGTTTGGCGATAAACCACTCTACTACTCAAAGGTGAGGGGCAATAAAAATGCAGGCGGACTGTGTAAAGCGGCTGTCTCTCTATAAAAACACACACAATTGCACAAAAAATAATGTAAGCAACACCTTTTTATTTATATTTATTCTTACACTAATTCATATTCATTTTTGTTCACTCAATGACAATTAACAACTCAACACTCGCACAAATGCACCCTAATTCGCTTTATCGGACTAATAATCGACACTTTGGAATTATTTTTTCACCCCATTCAGCAATTTTCCCACATGAATCGACTTATAGCAACTCTCCTTTTCTCGCATGTCATTTCCAGGACGATCCACATGGACGTTTATAGGCGAACGTATTGAAAAGACGCGTAAGAGAATGTTCTAATAATTGTTCCTGCCATTGCATTGTAAATAAGAGCCTTCCTCCTTAAAATATATGTCAGCTATTATAAATTTAAAGAAAGTATGAATCCTGTAGAGTTCTTTTTTGTACTTTTGAAGGAATAAAAAAAACACACACTGAGAACGTACGAATATTTATGAAATAAATCCCAAACTTCTGCAAGAACCGACACAAAAGCACGATTATGCACAGTTTCGTCATTATTTTTTAACACCTCTTGCCAACTGAAAGATCAATTAAGTCCTTACTTCTTGATCTTTCACCTCAAAACCCGTTGAAATGAAAGTATTATTTTTCGAATTTACCCATTGACTTTTCGGCCAAAACCAAAAATAATGACAAAATTGTGATAATCTGTGATTTCACATCTAAGCATTAACATTATAATTGCTGTTCTCGGCATTTGTCCGTTCCTTAAGTCTAATATAGAATCATCCTTATTTAAAATGAAGATTATAAATATTTAACTAATGCTTGTTTAAAATATTTCATTATTCCATCGATTTATTGACGAAATATTGGATTAATTAGTGAGAGAGAGAGAGAGAGAGAAAATTTTATGTAAAAGTTTAGCTCGTAAGATCCTAGGTAGATTTCTAGTCTGAAGATTTATAATTATTCTCATTTCATTTATACAATTTAAATATATATATATATTTTTTATATTGAATCGAAAATTTGTTATGAAACACTATTTTTTTGATATGTAATTTGCCAATTTAATAGCAATCAATCCGAGCTTGAAATTTGATACTGCGTGGAAGAGAGTGAAAAAAAATATCGAAAACTATCATCGACAATAAATTAGAAATTTTATTAACCAACAAAACAACCTACAAGAAATTTGAATGCAAGAGAGATGAAAGTGCATAATGTAATGTGAAAGCTGTGTAATTTAAAAACCATTTATGGATAATGTCAACAATTCATTAAAATGATTTATTCTATAATACATGCATTGTTTTCTTAATTACACATCGAAGGTCTTGTGCAAGATTTCTGCAGCTGAATTTTCTTAACACGACGGTCTAAGACCAGTGGCGTAATGAATATGAGACCTTAATTCTTCACTGTTTCATCCAGAAATTCTTATTGAATGTTTTCAATCGTGATTTTCAGAGAAATATTTTAAATTGAAGGTAATAAAATCTTTCAAAGTCTTTGAATATGTCAAATTTCTCTTTCTAGATCTTCTAGAAATTTATCAAAATATCCAGAAAAACATTTATTATTTCACTAATTGGTTCCTCACTACGCCAATGCTCGGAAAAAAGCGCGCGAATCGCCATAAAGACGAGGCGAATTGCGTATTTCAGGGTAATTTCTTGGCTGTTTCTGCCATGGTAATTTCGCAAGGCAGAAGAATAGAATGTGGAGGAATTCGCGCATCATTAGCGACAAGATACACTGCAAGAAATGGAGGTTCTGCCAAAGACATTGTTGCCGCTGCGCGGCGAGAACGCGAAGTGGCCAATTAAGCGCCCGGTTGGGAAACGCAGGGAGTAGCATTTTATTTTTCAGTATGGTGGAAAGTTAATTTATTGCTCAATCATGGTATTGAATTTCAATTGGCAACTATTGGGCGCTTATCATTGTCAAATCGCGCGCTTGGGCGCGGACTGTCATCGGAATGGAGCATTAAAAATTGCTGAAATGTTGTGCATATCTTTTCTCGCAGTGTCACGACAGATTCTCTCTCTCTGTTTCCAGCCCCATAATATGAATATGGAATTTTATATTCCGATACATTTTTTATTGAAGAAAATTCAAATTTCCAAGCGACGATATAAATAATTTTTTCCAGTCATAAATTCCCATTTAATATTTATATGGATATTTTTGGGTCGGGGGCAAAGAAAAAATCATTCATCTCCGCGCCGATTAGATGCTTATCTCGAGAATTGCCTCTGGTTCTTGTGTCTCTGCAGCTCTTGGCAGTCTCGCGCTCTCCTCTAGTCCACTGTCAATAAATTTCATTTAAATATTCCTCAGCAGGTGGAAATATTATTGTTATTATTGTCTCTTTTCTCAACGTTAACTGGACGCAGAATCTCTGTGGATGGCGTTGTTCTTTTCTCTCCTCAAAACCACATCTTTCCTCAGCCTTTCCATTCACGCTTCACCTTTTGTTGACTGTGTGTCTTCTGTTGTGAAGGAGATGAGGAAAAAAAATTTACACGGATTAATCTCATTTTCGTGGGTAAAATTTCAATTAATTGCGCCCGAGATCCAGATATCTTCATTAAGCGCGCGACTCCGTGGCATAGAAGGGAGCTTTTTATGTAGCCCAAAATCGATCTGCTTTCAGTAGCCAGAATGCCCCAAATACACCAAGGATTCCCATTTCCATTCTTCGACACATTTATTTACACTCTCGGTGTAGATGAACTTGATTGATCAGCGATGAGTTCATAATTAATTTAACAAGCATGACGGCGATTTCAATTCCTTCCTCTGCCCGATGTTCTTCGCCATGAGCGCCCAAAACGTCTGCGCGGGCTTTCTGGCCGGCCAAAAGCCATAGTCATTGCGTTGGGGAATTTTTCCCAAGTTAATCATTTCGTGATCAATGGTCGACAGGCACGGGAAAAATGGTCATAATCATCATTGTCATTATTCCATGCATTTCTCCGCCATAACACACTCTTTCACCCGGGCAACATTGCATGGGATCATTATTCGGGCGAAAAAAGTGATATGGTTAATACAACTCACCACACGCCGTTTAAGAAAGACATGATTGACTGTATTGAATAACCATTAGGAATTGTGCGCCGATGGAATTCGAGGGGAATTCTCTCGAGATCACTACAAATTCGTTTGACTGTTGAAGAATTGAATAAAGAGAGCATTGTTAAGTGTCGATTGTTGGGATTCGATGGGAATTGTGTACACCTTGAGCTTCAAAAAAGCGCCGCCTTCACACAACAACTCTCGCCATCTCTCCGCTCTTTCGCTTGTCTTGGAAACGTTTCCATTCAAATTTTACGTCCAACAATATCTAATTGGGTGGCATTATTGAGTCACAGATATGCTTTCTAATGTATCTCTTTTTTTCTCGAGAAAATGCCGGGAACCTTTAGGGCTCTCCTGCCTGGCATTAAGTGGATCATTTAATTGACTTGTGCCAAGGGGGATTTCTTTCTCATAAAGATGTTAAACATCTGCTAAATATTTCGGCGCTGAAGTGCTTGTAGAAGTTGAAAAATTTAACACGCAAAATTAGTTGAATTCTGATAATCTTGCCAAGCTCAAGATTCCAAAAACAATATCAGGACAAGGGGGAGATAATATCGCCAGAAGTGGTGTACAGCTCAGCGGAAGTCTTGGAAAGTGTTCAAAAACTTACAGTTTTTCTTTCTTGAGTGGTTCTTCCACTGTCAAATTATCTCGTTTCTTTGGATTTCTTTTCATCTTTATGTATAGAAACAATCGTAATATATTTTTTTAAGGTCATGTAAAGAATTAAGAATGGATTCCAGCACATCAATTCTTATGGTCTGTTAATTAGCATGCAATTAACATTGTAATTCTGCACATTTGATGCCAAGAAACACTGAAAATAGTGCTATTGTCGAACATAACCTCAAAAAGATTAATTTGAACTTGGAAAATGTTTATTTAGACCACTCTATGCACGGTTTTGACATTAAATCAACAATTTTGACTCTATTCAGAAATCATAAGAGAAGATTTTGTGATCTAAAAACCTTACAAAAGGAGTCTTTGAAAATCTTCAAGTGATATTTCTTAGGTTATGGTCGGAAAAATACCCAAAAAAGCTGTTTTAATTTAATTTTTATAGAAATATCAGATGGAAACTTGGGAGATTTATTACAAATTGAGAATTAATGTGGAGAAAAGTCTAAAATTTTCAAGTATTATGAAATGTTCTTGTTTCATGATGAATTTACAGTTGAATCTTTGCGTCGGCAGATTTTTTACTTCCCCACTGCGAAGTGGCAATGAAGCTAATTTCATCCTGACACTCTCCTTTCACGCACATCTTTGAGTCCTCAATGAGCCAAAGGCCCGAAATGTGTGACAATATTTACAGCAAATACAATTCGTTCTGGACATTCCACAATTTCACCTTTAATGTCCACGGACTGGACGCAGCGTGTCGTGATGGTGAAGAATGGCTTCAAAGGAGGGTAATTAAAGGTCTCTCCCCCCGAAGGTTGTCACACAGGACTTTCCAGGAAGTCCACCACACGCGCTCACATTGTGAGGCCAGCTAGAAAAGTCGAGTGCCACAAAGGAAGGCGGTCCATTTATTCTTTCTTCTCGACTGTGTCGTCTTCCTCTGATTTCCTGTCTCGAGATACACACCTTAAAGTTGTCTTCATGGCATTTTATATTGTCTCTCTCGCATCTTCTTTGGTCTCGGTGAACCGCACATTAAGTCCAAATTGATAATTTGTAATTTGTGTCACCCACACGCATTGCTGGGTGGCATCCAGCCATCTCACGTGGCGGGAGAGAGAGAAAGAAATCATAGAGATTGCTGCGAAGATGCCCTGAATATCATCACACAAAATCCACTCCCAATATAGTTGGGTGATCTTGTAATAACCGCGAGATGTAAAAGAAACAATGAGAGCCGAAGAGGTTTTACTGCGTCTTTTATGTTTTTAGCAGTGTTGTCGTCTGTAAAAGTCGGAGGGGGGGAGGGGGAAAATAAGAGAAAAGCACATTGGCAAGAGCGTTACAATAAATATTCCTCTTGTTTTAAAGCACCAACATTTATACTGCGCGATCGCCTCGATGGCCAGGGCGGACCACACTCGTGCCGGGGTGTCCGAGCCATAAAAGCCATCGTGATTTTCCCACCATGTGCGGAGGAACCACTTGACGGTTATTTGATTTAATTAATTGAGCCAATTGAAAATTATCCACCGCCGAGTCCCATCCTATTCATTGCAACAAAGTTGTCAAGAGCACGCGAGGTCTGGAGTAAGTGGTGAAGCGTGTTTTTGGACCGCATAAATTGTCCGACAAATTATTTCTTTCTAAACATTTATGGGGAATGTGTCATAGTGGAGCGATTGAGATTCCGATGGCGCAAAAAAAAAACCGTCCGTCCACTGAGAAAATGTGATCGTATCGGATTTCACATTGAAATGGAAAGCCTTCTGGAAATTTGATCATCGACATACCATCGAGTGCCACCAATAAATAAAGGTATCAAAGACAAAGGAGACAAATAGAGTTGGAATCTCAAATGGATTGGACAGAAGGACAACGGCAGAGAAACCTGAATTTAATATCCCATCATCCTTATCGCCTGATAATCACGCACAAACACCGAAAACCCGCCAGGTCACATATGAGCGTCACCCGCGATCCTTCAGGCTCAACTTGACCCCCTTTTTCTCCAAGCACCCATAAAAGAAACTATTAAGTCCGACAACACTTTATCTGCTTCTCCTCCCATTTTTGATGATTTATTGTGTATCTGTGTCATTTGCTCCACTCTGTCGGTGATGCATCACTTTTTCCCCGGGATTTGTCACATGTCACACCTCATTAGAACCGATCACTGCTCAATGTCACCCAAGAGAGGAAATTGCCCGGCAATCCAAGACAGCAACACACTCTCACCCGCCGTGACCTTTCCCGCCATTTCACCGTGAATCACTTTAATTTTGTGCTCTTTATTGCCGCAACGACTAAATAAATTTCTCGGCAAATGCTGTGAGTCAGGTTGCATGAAACCGTAAAACTACTCACCGGAAAGATAAGTCACAGCTCATACTTAGTAGCATTCCGCTTAACTGGATTTCTTAAACTGAAAACTTCTTAAGATCGCTTATCAGATTCATATGGGAAAACTTTCCTTTGTCATTGCTGCAAATTGGGAATGGATGGG